TAAGCCCTACATGTGCAAAAATGTGCTAATCCACCCCAAATACATATTTTTGCACTTCAGCCCATGGGAGGGGGGAGGGGATGCACATTTCCAGTGGTTTTCTTTTTGTATTTTTTTCACAGCTAAATTCAGTAAACTTCCAAAAAGGAAAAAATGCAGTCCACAAATTCATGGAAGCTCTGTGACTCTGGAAAGGCCAGTGCTTCCAAATGCATGGATCAGGTTCATAGGCATCCAAACACAAATGAGTCCGTTGTGGATGACTCTGACATTCCTGCTTATTGGGCTTTGGCACAGAGACAAATCTATGGCAGGGCAGGCTCAGCCGCTAACATCCCCGGCTAAGCAAAATGGATGGGACTTTCCAAGGTCTGTACAACGTGTGACCCAATAAGGCCAACATGTTGTTGTTGTTGTTAGTTGCGAAGTCATGTCCGACCCATCGCGACCCCATGGACAACAGGCCTCCCTGTCCTCCACCATCCCCCGGAGTCCACTCAAGCTCACAGCAACTGCTTCAGTGACTCCATCCAGCCACCTCATCCTCTGCCATCCCCTTCTCCCTTTGCCATCTATTGTTCCCATCATTAGGCTCTTCTCCAGGGAGTCCTTCCTTCTCATTAGGGGGCCAAAGCCAACATAGTTAACCTGAGGAGTGGCCTGCCAAAGGTTTATCATCCCCATTTGTTAAGTCCCAGGTAGAGTTGGAGGAATGTCTAGATTTTCCCTTCTCTCAGTTTCTAATTTTTCCAGTCTTAAATCCAATTCTCCTCAAACACTGAGAATGTCTGCAGTCTTAACTTGGGTTTGTCCAAAATGTGGAGATTTTTTTTAAGTTCACGGAAGCATTCCTAAGCACAGGTTTACATCTGAGGAAGCCTACCTGAGGGTGTCACACTGCCAGTACCAGGTGAGATTAGAAGGATGCAGTATAAGGTTCCTAATGCCAGCATCTCTCCTTCCTGTGCCTGGCATAAGCATGCGGAAATCCCAGAGAATCCCAGGGGAGATTATCGTACCCTAGGGCTCCCTTCCAAGAGCCTTTGCATGTGGGAGCCACTTGACCCAGGGAGACCCCACAGTGAAAATTAAATTGTGGCTCCCAACTCATAAAACACTGCTAATTTGGGGTTTTGCGACTGTGCACTGCCAGGCAAACTCGCCTGCACCTAGCAGAGTCAAAAGGGCACCCTGAAGTAAGGCAGGGCAACAGAGAGCACTTTTCTTAGGGTCCCAAATCTGGAAAGGGCTGTGTTCCTTCCTCATGAATCTGTAGATCTTGCATTGAATGGGGGTTTGACTAGATGACCTCAAAGGAACCTTCCAATTCTATAATTCTTGATTTATTTATTTTTTTTAACACTAGGGAAAGTCTGCTTCCTGCAATTTCCCAAAAATGTTTGACAAAGCACCATCTCTATTTGTTTTTATAAAGAACAGCTGACTCTTTAGGAAACAATCCTGCGGACTGGAAAATATGTTCTTTTCTCTGCCATCATCAATTTAATTGATGTTATGCAAACGGTATATTATTTTTAGAACTTGGTAAATCTTTAACAACAGAATGATGGTCTATGAAAAATGACCTGGCTAGCAACATAATATTTTGAGTGGATTATATGGAGATATTGGGAAACTGCAGAATGCTCAGTGATGTAAACATAGCAGGGCAAAGATATTAGGCAAACATTTCCCTTCCGGGCACTGGATGAATCTGACATTTAATTTTGTGAGCATTAAAAAAAAAACTGGGGAAAGAAAGCAAATACACACCCAGAAGTGATACAGAAAGATCTCCTTGCCCATCTCACTTAAGTTACTTTAAGGTGTGGAGTTTGTTAGTTCAGCAAAGAGTTTTAAGAAAATGCAGTTGGGCGTTTTCACTTTCCATTCTGCTTTTGAGTACCGAATGGATCCATTTGCATGTTAATAGGAAAAGAAGGTCCCAGCTCCCTCCGGCAGGGAAAACTGCCAAAAGCAGGGCAGGCAAAAGGAACACAGTCTGCTTTGCACCTCCTCCTGCCCATTCGGGTAGCCTCCATCTTCATTTATTCATAATAGATATTCTAAAACTTTACAACAAGACAGACCATAAAACATGGCTGTGACATAACCCACTCATTCCAGGAAGAGCCAGTGTGAACAAGGATGTTTTCAAGCATTGTTGAAACTTACCAGTTTTCTGTCTCTTGAACCCTGTGTGGGGCATTGTTGCAGAGAAAGGGGTGCCGCCACCAAGAAGACCTCCTTATGTATGGTTACCTAGCAACGCTCACTTGGTCCTCAGACTGTTTCAATGGTGGGATGAGTGTAGATAGGGCAAGAGAATATGCTAGATACCCTGTTTCAAAGTGTGGCCACGTATAAAGGAAAAAGGCCTGCTTTCCTCCCTCTCTCTCTCTCTCTCTCTCTCTCTCTCTCTGTGTGTGTGTGTGTGTGTGTGTGTGTGTGTGTGTGTGTGGAGAAAGAGAAAGAGAACATGGCCCGAATACTACATAGGCCTCAGATTTTGGAAACCCCTTCCTTATTGAGCAGGGAAAGGCATACCTGACTGTACATGTGTGTGTTTATGTGTGGGAGGGGGGTGGGGGGATTAATGTTTGGCCACTGAGTGTTTTTTGTAGAAACAGATTGTAGTTTTATGGAACAGTTCCAATGATGTGTTCTCGGGGGGGGGGGGGGGAATCCCCATTGAAAACCATGGGGCTTCTGTTTCATGTATAGCATGAAAAACATACAAGGACCATCTGAGATTTATCCACCCCAATCTGGTGGCCTTCAGGTGTGTTGGCCTACAGCTCCCATCAGTCTCTCCAGCCAGTTTAGGACGACCCTTCCCCATCACAACACAGCTCTCTCCATTCAGCCGAGCTGCACTGAGGTATCTTCAGAAGGTCATGTGGCATCTTCAGAAGAAGACATGCAGTCCACTTCCTCTGGCACAGCTGATTAAGCTTACAGCTTAACCTAGATCCAATTCTTCTTTTAAGAAACTCTCTGCGTTACAAAAAAAGGATGCTTTGAAAAACTGTGACAAGAATTGCTGATGTAACAAACAAGTTCTTAGCTTTAAAGCTCTTCTCTTGCTGTTTAAAATAATCTCTACTGAGCAAAGGGGTGACAGTCAGCCAAAAGGCAGGCAAACAAAGGACACCACAGGGAACCGGGCAAGAACTGAATTAGCTCTGTTGGGGCAACTCGACGTGTGCGTGTGTGGGGTGGAACTTATGTTTTGCCTGCATGCAAAGGTGTCGGGGTGTGTGTTGGAATAAGAGTATGAAGTGTAAGAAAAAGAGTAAGAAGTAAAGTCTGACTCCAGGTTTTAGGGACTTAAAGGCGCCCTTAGTCCCCACCAATCACAAGAACTCCTACTGCCCCTCTGTCTTTCTCTCCTCACCCTTGCTACCTCTTGCTTGATTGCTTGACAGGCAGAATTCCAGTGAACGCATAGCCAAGGGCACGTGCTGCTCTTCCTCCTGGCCACCAGGGTCGCCTGGAACAGAGCAAAGACAAGCAAACAAATAAGTTGCAACAGTGAAGGGGAAGTGAACCTTCCATGGGACCCTGGCTGGAGCATGGGTCCTTGGCCAATGCCCAGGCATGCCTACTCTTGACACCAGACCAGGCCCAATTCAATCCCTCATCCACTGCTCGACTGCTTTTATGCACTATTTCCCATGTCCCACACCCACCCTGGTTGACTGTGTTGGTAGAAGTGAGCTGGATAGAGAGGAAGTCTGCAGAGAAGTAACAAGGGTGCTCTTCCTTTCCTTGGGCATTCCTGTTTTCCCCACTCTGGCTTTGTTTGTTTTTATTACATTTCTGTACCACCAAGTAGCGGATACTTTACACGTGTTTAAAGCAAATGTATTCAATGTGATGCCCTGTATCTCTAGTATAGTTCTTTTGGTAAGGCCAGAAAAGTCACAAGATGTGGTACTGGTGCACAGGGACTTGCCAGCAAGACAGTCGAGCCGTCTAGCACAGTACTAACTACTCTAGATGTTTTGGACTTGGATTCCCAACATTCCTGACCACTGGTCATGCTGGCAGGGGCAGCTGGGAGTCTCAAAATCTTAAGCTCTGTCTTCTGCCCACCACTGACTTTCCAGAGTTTTGCACAGGAATATTTTACCGGCCTTACATGGAAATACCGTAGAATTCGGGCTTTTCTACTTCAGTAGTTAACCCACTACTTTACAGAAGCTTCTTCTGTCTCCTCCTCTTTGTGGGAGGAAGAGCATATCCTTTTCATGTGATTTTTCTCCAGGGGGTTTCTTTCTCTGCTATCCTGTATGTTCTGTTATGTCACTCCACTGTGGGGTGTAAAAAAATGGCAATTGTAAAAAATACATGGCCATTTCGTGGCACTTCCCAGCACAATAGGAAATAATAGCTGACTGTCCTTGCTCTAAAAAAGCTTCAAAAATAGCCGAAAAACATGGGAGGGTCCTGGAGGATGATGCCTTTGTGTGAAGGACCTACAAGCTTGCATGAGTGAGGGATCACAAGTGCACAATAAATGCCTTGTACAGATAAGTCCTTAATGAAACCACACAAGAGCCCTCCTTCAAGAGACACAGAATTCAGCTCTGCTAGTCTCTTTGGTATCACCTCTCTCTCTTTCTCTCTTTTTAAAGCAAGTCTCTAGCCCTTATGGCAGTGAAAATTTGCTCGAAAAAGTGTGGTGAGGAGGTGGTTCCTTTAGCTTTTATTTTACATAAGTGCCAGGCTACCATCAAGTGAGAAAACAGCCATAAATAGCTTTGAATGAAGCATTTCAACCCTCTCTACTGTGTTTATGTTCAAAAACTTAAGCAACACACACGCACATTCATATAATTTTGAAAGTAATTAAGTTCTGTGGAACGTTCGTTCTGTTCAAATTGTGACAGTTTTCTCTTTTGCTTTCTCTTTCAAGAGCTGTTAGAATACCTGTCCTTCCGTGACAGGTATGCAGTGTACCATTGTGAATTCCATCATTCTCATTTTCCCTTTAGGAGCCGACAATGCTGAACCTCCCAAGCCCCTTCTCAACTGTGGACGTGCCGGGCCATGCTCATTACGCCATAGCAGCAGTCATTCTAGCAGTGGGCATCACAGGAACCCTGGGTAATCTCCTGGTCATCTATGCTTTCTGCAGGTAACCAGTGCAGTGACTTTGTGCTGTCTGATATTCCTAGGAGAGGGCAGCCATGTGCCCTCCTTTATGGAGGGCAGCCCTCTGTTTGTCTAGCCCATGCCAATTGTAAAGGAAAGGAACCTGAAGGAGGGAGAGCAGGCGCCTTGAAGTCGCCCAGCAGAAGTTTTGACGTTATCCAAGTTAATACCTGGAGACAAGCATGAGCAGCTGCAGAGGGGACCTAGTCACAGCCTTTTCCACTATGGGGAAAATGTGCTGTGTTTCTATTCAGATTGGTATAACTCTTTCTAAATTCTCCTTTTCAATCATTTATTTATTGCATATATATCCTGCCTTCCCACTAAAATAGAGCTACATCTGCATCTATACTTTGGAATTAGCGCAAGCAAATATTGTGCAAACATGGCCTGTTTTGTCCTTGTTTTGGGGTACTACATTTCCTCTTTTAGCAGGTATGAGGTCATCAGACAGCTTCTGGGGGCATTGTCTGTAAGCCTGCTTGTGGGGGAAGCAAGTCAGTGTGAACTAATTCTCTATTTCATTCAGGCCCTTTGCTTGTATTGTATTTGCTAAACTATAATGTGAGTTCTTAGGAAGCCAGTGAAGTAACTGACTATATAAATAGTGTGCATTTGTTTAAAGGAATGCCGTTAAGAATGTACTGAATGAATCAATATTTCCATTCCAGAAGCAACTTGCCGTCTTTGAAATGAGATTCTCTCAACAGAAAATGGATCTTCTGATAACCATAGATTATGTTAGATTCAAGGATTTTAGCTAGTGTGTTAAATATCCTAGACTTTCTGTTCACATAGGTTAGCCTTCCCTAAGCTTATGCTCTCCAGACAGGTTGAGTGCCATGCTGGCTGGGGATGATGGGAGTTGCACTCCAACATATCTGGAGAGCACCATCTTGGGGAACACTGGTCCCTGACGCACATATATGTTTTAGTTCCTGGATTTTTATATTTTGAGTAACAGAGGGCTCACTCTCCCTGAAGTAGCAAACTTGCGTCTGGACTGTATTCATGTGGAGACAAATCCCACCAACACCACTTGGAAAATTACACTTTAGGGGGAAGTATTTGACCTTGGATTTTTGTCTGATATGCTGATTTTCTAGAGGCAGGGCAAGTCTTTGCACGGTGAAACGGTCCCTCTCATGAGCTTGTGCCTGCAGTCTAAAGTAGTACAGCCCGGCCCAGATTAGGGTTGGCTATCTCAGGGAAAAAACTAGGCTAGCAAAGCCATGGGGCTGAGAGGACATTAGGCAAGGAAGTAGGAGCAGCCAGTGAGAAGAACTACTCTAACCTCAAGAAGTCTGGAGTTCAGATTAGTAATGCTGCCCAGCTCACAGGTCAAATTTTTCCTCTTCATAATGCTCAGGCTTTTGATGAGCCTGAGCCAGAGTTTTGCGAATTTGCTGTTAAGTTTGGAATTGATCATGACCTTCTGAGCATGTGCAATCTGTATCCCAACTATGCCACTTCTGTGCATGTGCTGAGTTAGTTGGTTTAACCATTAAATGATCCAACATGCCTATCACTGCATCCCTCCTCCTCTTCCTCCTCATCATCATCATCACAACTGTGGTTCCAAGAGGAGGAAGAGGGTATAGGTACATCTTCTTTCCTTCTCCATATACCAGTAATCAGCAATGGTGAGTACACATCACATGGGCAGGCCATGTGAAAACAGCCAATCAGAATGGGCATACATAACAGGTGATACATGACATCACAGTGATCTTCACCTTTCCACACTATAGCTCCCAAGATGCACTTTGATTCTGTACATGTGCAAGAGCACTTCTATGGAAACAAGACTGCATTGTAAGGGAAAATCTTCATCCAAGTCTACATGGGTAAGTTTGTTATTAGCTGAAGAAATAACAAATTCACCCAGGGTAACTCCACCCATCACTAGTTAAGACCTCATGGGAATAGGGGTGGTGTAGTGGTTAAGAGTGCAAGTTTGGGACTCAGGCAAGCTGGATTGTAGTCCCCGCTCAGCCATGGAGCCAACTGGGTGACTTTGGGCCAGTCACGGACTCTCAGCCCAACTTACCTCACAGCGTTGTTGTTGTGGGAAGAAGACAGAGAGCAGGAGGAGGAGAATGATGCAAGCTGCCTTGAGTTCTTTAAAAAAAGGAAAGGGCAGGATGAAAAGCTAATAAATAAATAAAACAGGCCAGGAACAAGCAGCCATAACATGACTTCCCAATACTAATGGCAGTGGTTTCAATGCAACGTGGGGGTGAGCTCTTATGCATTGCAGAAGAAGAGTAAGTGTATTAGGAAAAGAAGGTGCCACTTTGCATAATATTTGCATATCTATGCCTGTAATTGTATCTTAACCCCATAGTGAAGAAGAAGACTGAATACATGACCTCCCTTCCTTTAGTCTGCCACTCAGCTGCTCTCTGCTGATGAGCCCGTTTACTTTAAACCAAACTGGACACTTCTTCAAATACAGGACACATCCAAACTGGGACCTGCCTTCAGCCAGAATGACAAAACAGAGGACTGTTCTTTGTAAAATAGGATACTAGTGGCCCTACTATTACTGCCTCCAGGGTCCTTGGGCCACTCTGCCCAAGTCCTTTGCTCCACAATCCCAAAAGCCAGAAACAAGCCCTGTTCTTCTTGGTCCAATTTTTTTTTATTTATGTTACTTCTGCACTGCCCCACAGCTAAAACTGTGAAATATCCTTCAGGTTATAAAGGAGGCTTGGATGCCACAGCTCGTTCTGTGAACCACGCAAAAATCACGGTAATGCAAATCACTCGATCCAACTCCTTGTTTTTCTCAAATACTGCAGGCTGGCAGAGAATCAGAGCAAAGAGCTTCTGCAGTTGGCTTCATGGCTTGGGCAACAAACACAAACTGAAATGTTTCAGGCAATATAAAATCATTTGGCTGGATCCCAGTGTTTGGAAGCTGTTGTTAATCTGGCCAGCAGTGGAAAATGCCCTCCCAGTTCAGCGTGACCCAGATGCAGAAAATCCATAGTCCATCTACTTTAATTTCTTGGTAATCTCCAGCATCAGGAAGCAGTCAGGCAGAGCAACAGGATAAAGAGGCACAGATTCTATCTGTGTCACTGGGGTAGTGGCCAAAGGACTGTGTTATGTTGTATGTGCACATCATGTATTTATTTGTTTATTTTTATGCAGAGCTCAGTAGAAAAAGACTCCCTGAATAGCTTACAAAGATGAATAATAGGATGGTCCCAGTTCTCAAGGACTGTATTTTGCAATCTAAAAGGTACAACATGGAAGGAAAAGGAATGGGGTCAGAGAAGGAAAAAGGCAAACTCAGGTGCCAGTCCTTACCTACAAATTTCAGCAGGTTGTCATTCTGAGGTCATCGAGTTCACACTTAGAGTGTGTCAATATTCCTATCCTTCAGGTGGTCTCAGCTCTACAAAAGGTTAGAGCTGTATTGATAGAAGGTATGGGAAGAGTTGGTATTTTTTATCTGTCCTCTACTGGCCTTTCCAAGTTTTGATCAAGGTATGTTAAAAAATTTGCCTATCATGACTTGCTGACGTGAAGTGAAGCAAAGCAAAGCAAAGCTACATCATTAGATGTTACATCATTTTAATTTATTATATGTAATTTGTCAGTGGACATATTTGTAGGCAATGCCGTGCTGCACAGGCGGAGCTCTTGTCTTGTCAGATGGCAGCCTATTTCCTGGGAAGCCGAATCACTTGTAAGAAGTTCAGTTTGGATGGTAAAAGAATTTGTTTCTGACCCTCATATCACTATTTTCTGAAGAGAGGGGCTTCCAACCATCCAGAAGATTGGAATTGCCATGATGATAAGTCTGACGTTCAGTTTTGGGGAGCCCAATATAAGACCTGCCTAAGATCAAAAAGACTCATCCTCAGTCTGTGACAAGCCCCTCCCCTTCAAAGCCTCAAAATCAGGGGGATATCCACCCTTCCCATAGGAATATTGACATTCAAAAGAACATGCATCCCCCTATCTGGGGAACAACCTCCTGCCTCCAAACAAGGTTGAGGAACAAATTAACTCCCTTGCATTTTCTGTCTTGCTGCTTATTATGAATGTCAGAGCGGCTGTTTGCAGCCTTCCCCTGGAATATTAATCACTGGGAGTTGTGTGGGGCATGTAACATAGTGGGAGACAACCTGGTGTTCTCCAGATGTTTTTTTTTCCTTAAATACATTCCCATTATATTGGCTCATCCTTGATTTATGCCAATTCTCATTCAAAATATTTGTTGGGTACCAAGTTGCTTACTCCCGGTGCATTTCTACTGACCTACCTCACAAGGTTGACTTTAAATTTCTACGTTAAAGTCTGTCTGAAGTGCTTTGAACCCTCTAACACACCACATCAAAGACAGGGAACCAGGAGCTCTCCAGATGTTGTTGGGTCACTCCCATCAGCGCTGACCACTGGTTATTCTGGCTGATGGGAGCTGGGTTCCGACAGCATCTAAAAGACCACAGATTCCCTGTCCCAGGATGATAGCAGTGTTGAGTATTCCTCTTTCATTAGGAAGGATGTATGCTGTGGATTAACAACAGGGGAAGGATGCCCTTAGGACACATCACGGATCAGATAAGCAATTGGTACAATGCATATGTTTAACATCATGGTGTTAGGATGCTGCTTAGGAGAAAATCAAAATCAATGACATGTTGTCTCATCGTGGCTTTGACTGCACTGAAGCACTGAAGCTTGCATCTTACCAAGTGTCTCTCCTCTTGCTTAAAGGAGCAGGGGTCTCCGTACTCCTACCAACATGTTTATTATCAACTTGGCCATGAGCGATTTCCTAATGTCCGTCACTCAGTGTCCACTTTTCTTCATCAATAGCCTCAACAAAAGATGGATATTTGGGGAAAAAGGTGTGTATCAGATTTCTACAATCTGTTTCTACAGATGGAATAGATTGGCTTGAAATGTATTGCTGCCAATGGAATTGCTATTTCTTTTATCCACAGTTATTGAAGGTTTTAAAGTTCGTTGTAAAATGTGTTTATTAAGGGTTTACTAGAGGTTTTTCCAATAAATTAAATACAAGCTGTTTTCTGTCTGCTTCTCCCCTTCTCTGTTCCCAGCCCTTTCTGCCAGCTAAAGCCCTAAACATATTTCCTCTGCATCAGCAACCCCAACGTGGGACCCTTTGGATGGTTTAGACTGCAACTACAAGTCATTTGAGAAAGCTACCTCTGATACAGTGTAAACCAGCAAGCCCCTCTCCATCTCCCCAGCCCAGAGAGAAGCAGGGGAAAAAACTGTGAGGGAAATACAGGGAAGATGAAGGCTGCAGTAGGCCTTGTCAAAGAAGTGTTCTCTGCACTATGGCAGTACAATAGCTCCCTGTCAGCTAATTTCTTGCTTAAATTCATTTCCAAATAGTTCCAGAAAGACAAGTCCAATTTATTCAAGTTTCTCTGGAGCTCCCACTCCTGGTGTAGATCAGAAGGATGCATGGAAAATCCCTTTTATCGGGCCTTTTGTGGCATTGGTGTTGCTTGTCCATGCTTTTCTCCCCTCCTTGCATCATGGCATGCAAATAAAATGGACTCCTGAAGATGCAGCTTGCTTTCTTTAACACCTTCTCTGAATCGCTCATGTTTAAATCATAGGGCTGCTTCACACACGGCCATTGTTACCATGCGTGCTTTCAAATGCTGACATATGAGTGTGGCAAATGTAAGGATCCTGCGGGTCCAAGCAAAAGGGGTTGTGGGGCCCTGATGATAAGCATGCAAATGTGCAAAGATTCTCAGGGATTCTCAGGCCTTTGAGCACATCCCACAGAGAAAATCCTTGGATTGCTTGTTTGATTAATTAATCAATTAAAATACCTTCATACCACTTAATATATTAAAATCCCTAAGCAGTTCATATTGACATGACAATATGATAGCCCAGATAAAAATAATAAAGGCTTAAAGCATCTCAAAACATTGCAACAGTACAGCAAAAATAACAGGGCCGTAACAGGGCAGGGAAAGCCTTGGGAATAAGGTGTGTTTTCAAAAGATGTTCGGGACTTGCCACTGATTCTGCCTGAGTTCCAAAGGGCGGGTGCCACCACCAAGATGGCCTCCGAACACACCACTGCCTAGTGACAGAACCCCAGTGTTTGCATGCTGCATGCATGGAATGAAATTCTGGTGGTACTGAGGTGTGAAGACTGACTCCCAATGATCCTTATTTAGGGCCCCCAGACTGTTCTATGGACCTGGCAGAGGGCCAGTGAAACCTCCAAGGTGTTCTTTATCTCAGCTAGCTTTCTCTTGCTGTCATGAGTGGTGAACAGATTGATAGCTGTGCAAGCCAGTCCTTTCCCAGCCAGGTTGGCTTGCTTATGTCCATCTCAACTTCTGACAAGTCAGCAAAAATATGCCTTTCTTGTCCCACCAAGCTTTCAGTAGGTACTGATTGGGATGAATGTCCAAGAGATCTCCTTGCTTAAAAGCCTTCCCTTTTCAGGGTGATGGCAGAAGTCCTCCTAAGGAATGGCTTCCAAACAGCATCTCAGTGCTCATCCTGGTGGTAATGCATACAAGCTTGTATGGTGGGGAAGCCTTTGCGTGCATAGCTATAAATGGAAAGCCTTCTCCAAAGCTTGATATTGTATTCATGGCCAACAGGGCGGGGCTGAGCAGGTGGATACAACTTCTCAGCAGGGCCAGGCAAACATCCTCAAGTGTGGTAGAAGTGGTCAGAATGCTTCATTCCAGCGACTGTGTCATAAAATTGCGCTTCCACCACGCGTAGCAGTCGGCTGCCTTTTCTTCTTCTTTGGTTCACAGATGCATTCAGAACTTTAAGAGTGTTGAGAGCGCATTTGCATTGCCATGGGGACTCACCCCATCACAAAATGACTGAAATGAGCATGGCTGGTCCTAGAATATTCATTTCCTGAAAAGCAAACTGATGAGACTAAAGAACTGTAACTTGCCCAAGGAACTAAGTACAAGGCAGAGGTGGGACCTGAGCACCGGAACACAAAACACTCTTGGAACCCAAGTGAAGATGGTGCTGGAGGGTAGCCCTTGGCAGGGTACCAGCCACCCCATTAATTAAAACACAATACGAATCATGCAAGGCAGGGAGCCTTCCTGCTTGCACACCTGGTCAGCTGCTCCCTTAGTCAGAATGGGACCCCAGTTACCACCTGGCACCTCCCCCTTGTGCATCCTCACTGACCAAATCTAGAGCAAACTTGCAGGATGGATCAGGGGACTGCAGGGCTGAGGCACAGGAAGCTCTTGTTGGTCAGCAGATCACTTAGGTTTCAGGATGTCCCACTCACCTACTGACTTGACTGCATCACCATTCGTTTTGTGCTTTGATATCATTGAGGTTTTAATTTCAGAGTTATTAATGATGCATGTTATTTTAACCAATGGGGTAGGTGTTTCCTTGAGTTGCTGTCAGTAGAATGATGAAGGGCTGCCTTCCTGAGCGTGAGTTTCCACCAACCCATTTGGCTGACTGGGGGTGGCTTGTTTTCTGAGACCTACTGCCAGGAAAAGCACCCCCCCCCTTTGTTGGTAGTGGCCCAGTTTTGTTCAGCTCAGGGGAAATCCTCTCTCCCCCATGATAGCATCTGATCACTGGGTTAAATCTAGTTTATTTCACTGAGCCTTTGGGCTCAGGTGAATTATGTGATCTAGATATGACAATCTCCCAAATCTATGTTTTCATGCTGTTCTTTTATTATATTTCGATCGCATTTAAATTAGGTTATCTCTCTGCTGCCTGAGGCGTTGTTTGGAGTGGCAACAAGGGGAGCAAGTGATCTTAATAAATGCATTAATAAAATGAAAAGAAATGCAATCCAATAAAGTAAGTTCTGCTTTTCTATTCCATCCGCTAATTCTGCTGTGTTCTTTCCGAAAAGGTTGTGAGCTGTACGCTTTCTGTGGAGCTCTCTTTGGCATTGCTTCCATGATCACGCTGACTGTGATAGCCCTGGACAGGTATTTTGTGATTACACGACCCCTGGCCTCCATTGGAGTAATGTCTAAGAAGAAAGCTTTGCTAATCCTATTAGGAGTGTGGCTGTATTCCTTAGCTTGGAGCCTCCCGCCCTTCTTTGGATGGAGTAAGTGAGACAGAATTTTTTAAAGGGGTTACTTGATATGGGGAGACTAAATGCAAGAATTTATATAATGGCCTTTGAGAGTTGGTGCCAGATAAAAAGGATTTACATATTTAAGATGAGGATGTTCTCTGCCAAGGAGCCTGCTTCTCAGCTAACGAATCTCTACAACATTTTAACCGAAGAGGGAAAAGCTCTGTACCGCTTCCATCACATTAGATTACCTTGCAATGATGCTTTGGCTGGAAAGCACATTCATGCATTACACAGAAAGAGGAATGAAAGAGGAGGAGATGAAAATCAGAGATGAAAAATAAAATGGGGAGAATATCTTTCATAACATCTGCATAACCTTTTACAGACAGGCTGAGCAATATAAACAAGCATGAATAAATGCAGAGTTGGTGCATGTGCGTTTGTGCGCATGCACTATATTTGGTGATTGTTAGCACTCACAAAAGGGCCATACTGAGAACCTTGATCATATGGAATCATCTCTTCATACTTATCTAAATATAGCCATTTCTTTATAAAAATGCTTTAAACCAGGGCTAAGCAACCTGATGCCATTCATATGAATCAGACTATAGAAACATAGAAACAGAGTGAGTCAGAAGGGGCCTCCCAGGACAGCTAGTCTGACCCCCGGCACCAGCCGGCTTCGCTCACAACATGCCCACCATGTGGACGTCCAGCCTATCCTTGAACACCCGCACCGATGGGGCCTCAACCACCTCCCGTGGAAGCCCGTTCCACACCCTCAGGGTCCTAACTGTCAGGAAGTTCTTCCTGGCATCCAAATTGAACCTTGGTTCCCTGAGCTTTGCTCCATTGGAGTGTGTCCTGCCCTCCCAGAATCCCTGGCTACTGGCCTAGCTAGCTGGGGCTTATGGGACTTGTAGTCCAAAACATGTGGAAATAGCAGTTTGCTTATCCCTAGGTCTAATATGTTTCATTTTGTCAAAGGGATATGACACTCAGCCCAGTTTATGCCTTCCCTATCCCTGGAAGGGGAAGGGATCACATTGCCCCTCTTTGCAGCTCATGAACTGGCTTTGAAACAATAAAAAGCTGGAACCAGCAAACACTTTAACGCTTAACTTTAATTAAAGGCACAGAAGCCCTTTAACTTTAATTAAAGGCACAGAAGCCCTTAACAGCCTTAATAGTACTTGCCTATCCATACTGGTCAGGTTGGTACTGCCATTATTGTACAAAAGTGAACATGTTGCAGATCATGGAGTGGACCAATGCCCCATTATAGCCATGTCACGTTCCAACATCTGCAACCACCTATCCATTCTTGCCCATACCTACATTTTTAAAATAGCAGGACCTTAATATGCATTTAAATATGCATTTTCTCCCAATGCAACCTTTATAGATATATTTTGATGTGGGGTGGAGTTGAGCTGAAAATTGTACCAGAACATTCAGAAAAGGCTGGCCATACTTTAAGGCAGAATGAGGTGGCTCCTCAGGTGTCAGTACCTGAGGGACGGGAGAGGCAGTGAGGTGCTACAGGACTAGCCTGCAGTCCTAATAGCTTGCTGTCTTCTGCTCTGGAGCAGAATGCTGCCTCATCATTACTGTTGAACTAGAACTCAGCTGCCAAGTCAGTATGGCCCCACTTTGTCCTTTGCCTCAGGCAGCAAACTGGCTTAGGCCTCACCAGTCTTGCATCCGATGATATTACACTGCTCTGCTTCAGAGGAATGTGTTTGAGAACTATTGAGATAATACATGTGAACTTCCTTGGACTATCAAAAGGCATTCTGCACATGCTAGCAGACTCGACCCATGATAGTGTAAAGGATTTTATTATTTATTTATTAAAACATTTCTATGCCGCCCCATTCGCCGAAGCCTCGGGGCGGCTCACAACGTAAATTAAAATACAAGAAATAACAATATAATAGGATAGCCAAGTTATTGCTGCATGACTATGTCTAGTCTTCATGCCATGATAAGCACATGCCCAAGGCCAGCCCTACCATGATGGGGAACGTTGTCTCATGGCCCTCTTGGCCTTGACCTCCAACAACGGAATGGAGTTTCTGCTGCTGGAAGTGAAGGAAAAGCTGGCACCCCCCACACATTCCTTGTACAAGAGAATGGCCATTGAATCCCTTTTCAACACTAACGTGGAACAGCATCTTCTACCACACCTCAAAGCATCCTCCTAGCTTTTAGGGGGCAAAGAGCAATACAACAGTGAGTGGGATGAGAGAGGGCCTAGAGAGGTGGTGGGCTCTCGAGATACTCAAGGCAAATCTCAACACTAGAGATACTCAACCCTAGAGATACTCAACACTAGAGATACTCAAGGCGAATCTGAGTGGGATGGTGTGACTTGGTGCCTGCAACAGCAGGGGGTTGGACTCGATCGCCTTCATGGCCCCTTCCAACTCGACTATTCCATGATTCTATGAAAGGCCAGGCTGCATGGCCCATAGCCCTCTCTGACATTTTGTTCTCAGCTCCCAGCCTCTGTCACCTAACGTGGCTGTTTCACATTGTCTCATGGTAGGGCCAGCCCTGAGCATGAGCTTCCACAGTGTGGACACCCTTTATCCAATGCAGGAAGTGTGTTCCAGGAAGCTACGTTTTGTTGCGCACCCCAGGCTTTGCCGGGTGCTGAGGAGTTCCACAGACAATGCTAACTGTGTCTGGCTTTGTTTGGGGGATGTAGGGTGTTTTCTAATATTGAACTTAATTGCAAATAAACAAATAGAACACTGGCGGATGCGAGTGGCATACACAATCCTGGGAAGCAGGAGGTTTCTTTCCCAGTATCAGACACCCAGAAAGAGGTACTCAGCACCCAAATAGGCTAACTGTGTGCTTTTCCTGATGAGGCTCTTTCTGCACAATCACCCTCATTTCATTGTCTTTTACTTATAATTTACTGTTTCGTTACTGCTTCTCCATCTTTTATCTATTCAGAAAAAGCGCCGCATACCTGCACAACAAGCTGTTCCCTGGTCCCCAGACGAAGCTGCTTCTATTGTGTTCTTTCTCTCATGCCCTCCCTTGCTCCTAGGCGAGCCCCTTCTCTCACTTGGAAAGGAGAGCCACCTTTTCAAAGCAAAGCGGATGGCTTTCACTTACGAAGTCCCCAAACAGCTCCCCAACATTAGTTCCAACTGAGAAAACATTAAGCACCCACCCTGGGCCATTAGCCAGTGATCTGCTTAACAAATGACGCCTGCTCAGTCACCATGACAATAAGCGCGCGCGCGCGCGCGCGCGCGCGCGCGCACACACACACACACACACACGGGGCAGAGAAAAGAGCTCTGCAAACAGTAGCGTGGCAGAAGGGTCCTAAACTGAAGCTGCAGTAACTCCGCCACAGATCTCCTCAGAGCCCAAATAAATGCGGGAACAGACTGACTCCTTCACAAAGCAACTTGATGGTCAGAACTCTAGAACCGTAGAATCATAAAATAGTAGAGTTGGCAGGGGCCATGGAGGCCACTGGCCCCAACCCCCTGCTGGTGCTGGACACCAACTCACACCATCCCACTACCTTTCTTACAATTCGAATTGGACCCTGAAAAGAGGGAACTATATATACTAAACATTTATTGTGCTAGGGCCAGAGAATGAGCACTTTGGACTTGTGTAGTGAGCCCTTTTCAAAGCCGGCACTCATGGGCCGTACGTGGTGATGTATGGCAGCCACTTCGAAACCAATCAAAAACAGAGGAAATGTCACCCAAACGGCAGGCAAAAAGGGAACTACAGTGGTACCTCGGCCCACGAACACCTCGGTTCGTAACCAAATCAGGTTGCGAACAGAAAGTTCATAAAAAGTTAGCTGCAGGTCACGAACTCTGCATCGAGTGATGATTGTGAGCGTGCCTGCCTTCCCTGCACGGGCATGATCGCAGTCGTGCTGGGGTGGGGAGACGGCCGCGAAGGCGCCCATGTTCCCTGCCCGAGTGCGCTCGCGCCCATCCCCCACGCACCCCTGCCCGCCTCCCCCCCACGCACCTGCGTCCACTTCCCCCTCTGGAACGGAGTCCTGGAACAGATTAAGTTCGTGCAACAAGGTACCACTGTATTTGCCCGAACGGTGTGTTTGCTCATTCTATGTATGAAAGCAAATTTAGACACGATATTAGGATTTTAAAAGAAGCTGCATACATTGCATCAGAGTGTGGAAGGCAGTGACCAGGTGACCTGTGCCCCCAGCCACCTGGTCTGCTATTCAGGTGCTAACAGGTGGTGAGCATCAGGCACTTTGGTCTGTTATCCTTTAACTAAAATTGGACAAGACAGGTCTTCAAATAGACACCTCTTGAGAAAAGGACACATGGTTACCCGCCCCTGCCCCCAAAAATAAGCTTGAAGAAAAGAATATGTGTTTTCCATGTAGGATATATAGAAAATACAGAATACTGTGTCCAGTTCTGGACACCAAGATCTAAGAAAGATTCAGAAAAATTAGAAAGGGTTCAGAGGAGAGAGCTGTACAGCTAACGGGGTGGCTTAGAAATCTAGTAAATAAATAAATAAAATAAAAATGATCCAGGATTTGGAAACACTGCCCTGTGAGGAGAGACTGAGAGAAGTGGGCATGCTCAGTCTTGAGAAGAGAAGATTGAGAGGGGACATGATAGCCCTCTATAAGGACCTCAAAGTCTGTCCCAAAGAGGAAGGACAAGATCTCTTCTCACTAATATCAGAGTGTAGGACATGGAATAATCAACCCAAGTTGCAACAACCCAGATTCAGGAGAGATATCAGGAAAAGTTTCCTCACTGTCGGAGCAGTGGAACCAGCTGCCTGGGGAGGTGGTGGGCTTTCCCACACTAGAGACATTCAAGGTGAAGCTGGACAGCCGTCGGAATGGGATGGTGTAACTCGGTGTCCTGCAACAGCAGGGGGATGGACCCTTCCAGTTTTATGATTCTATTAAAGTAATTGTTAAGAAGCAATCCTACACCTGTGTAGGCCAGCACTTCTCAGGATTCCTCAGCTAGCCAGCTGGGGGATGCTGGGCATTGTAGGCCTTTCTTTTCTGTCTATACAGGTGTAGGATTTTGCCTTTAGACACTTTAGCAAAAGGCAGTTTGGTTTAATGAGGGGCTTAAGGGAGCAATGTGAGAAAACTTACTTCAAAGAGAAAGGCATAATCTGATGAGCCAGAACAATCACAGAGTATTAAATGACTGGTTTATAATTAGATTCTCATTGTACCCATAATATGCTTATTCACAGGGCCAATAGGAAAGACCTGACTCAGCATGTGTTGTAATATCTTCTGACCCAGACATGTTTCTAGAAATGCTAGAAATTACTGAGTTTTAAAACACTTTAATGTCTCCAAGCCTAGCTTTATTCTTACACAGCATCCATGGAGAGACTAGATTTTTAAAAAAAAAACAAATGATGTATTTAACCTCAAAACTAATTCTATGTGCCTGATTGGTTTCTTCTGCTTGCAGTTCTATTGAGCTCTTTAATCATGTTTCATTTCACAAGAAGTGCAATCTTTTGCAAACAAATGGACTTAGTTATTCATCAACGCCTGTTGAATCCACTTGTTTACACCAGAATCAGGGAATGGTGAGGTCAGGAGAGTAAAAGCCATGTCCTTAACAGGAGGCCAGAACTTAGACAGAAACTGAAGAAAGCAACCCAGACCAGTACTTAGCTGTACACTGGAGGATTCTATCAGTTTTCCACTCCACCAGGAGCAGGCATTTGTAAAGCTAATGGAACTCAGGAGAAGCTGGCAAATATATATCATTGCTGTGAAAACCCCTATTCCTCCAGGTAACATGAGGACTGCAGCTAAGTTCTGCAGGATCAAAGAATCCTAAGGGAGCTGGCACATGAGATCTTTGTCCTATTAGTCCAAAAGCCTTGGTGCTCTGTCACTGGGAGCTCTCCTACACCACTCTCACGCACATCCACTCTCCACAGGCTGGTATTATCTTCATTCCGTTAGAAGGAAACATATTATGTGGTCAGTGCTGCAGTCTGGATCCCAACTTGCTCTTACAAGAGCTTGTGCAGGGAGGAGCTTCTCTGATCCCCTTTTTGGATGCAGCTCCATTGGTTTCTGGAAGATCTGTCAAATCCCAGGAGACATTTATCCAAGGGCTGTAGAGAGCAAAGGGGAAATGGGTATAGCCACTTCTGTGATCAGAGCTCCACTCTGTGAGTAGAGCAAGAATTAGGATCCGAGCCAACCCCTATCTAGGCACTCTCAAATATGGATGAAGATAGTTAATGTGGCAATGAATTCTGTGAGTTGACAATGCAGTTTGTGGTAATGAAAAAATACTTCTAGAAGCTCTCTTCTACAATATATTCCAACTGTCAAGCAATTGCATTAAGTGCCCTCATATTTTTGAGAATAGTTTCTCTCTATTTATTCTCTCTGTGAAGCTCAAGACTTTTATCAACCGTTTTCAACTCTTTTTTGAACATCCCTGGCACCAGATTACCTAACATCTAATTACATCAAAATCTCATGATGGCTGATACCGCATTATTGCTTGGGTTCGGCAAGCTTGACATCTGTTTTATAATATAATTTTAAATTTTAAATGGTATACAACTTTTCTGTTATTTTTGCAACAGCAAATATTCTTCTGCTTTTCTACTAAGGTGCTTATGTTCCAGAGGGCCTCCTGACTTCCTGTTCCTGGGATTATATTACTTTCACCCCATCCGTCCGTGCCTACACAATGCTCCTCTTCTGTTTTGTGTTCTTCATTCCCCTTATTGCCATCATATACAGTTACATGTTCATTTTCAGAGCCATCAAGAATACGAACAGGTGAGTCACCCACAAGCCAGCCTCTTATTGTTTACTCTTAGAAGATGGTTGCATTTAAAAAATCCAAGCATGCCTCACTTCCAGGAAACAGTCATGGTATATGGACAGAGTGCCTGCAAAGGCTGAGCCAGAGTCCGCACCATTTTGTTAAAGCACTAGATTCCTTTACATAGATCTTACAGCAGTTGATTAGAGAGCAGCTCTATGATTTAGCTTACTCAGGATTGGAAGAGACAGAGGAACTGGAATTAACTAGACTAATTTTTAAAGGTCAATGAGAAGCTTGGTTGAAACTGAGAAGTGACATGGTGCATTAAATCAGTGGTCTGTCCAGGATAGGGGATGAATTTACAAAGCTCAGATTTTGCATATTGCAAAACAGGGTTCTGTGAGCTGTCTATAATGCAAATAATCATACAAACAATTGTATCGATCCCTTTCCCTGATCTTTCATGAACACAATCTTAGGCAGCTTTAAACAGAAAGTTCTACATCTCCCAGCTTTCCCCAGAGAGCCATGATCAGGGGACAATGCCAGGACTTGTAGGAGAGTTTTCTGTCTAAAAATGCATAAACGCTCCAATTCTGCATGAATGAAAGCAGAATCCCACTATCTGTATAAATCATGCAAGCAAACAATTCTTGCCTTCCTTCTCAGTTATTTTGCCTATCAGGTCTTAAGAAATTCAGGTTTGAAAACACTTTAGAAATACCAACCATTGGGCTGCATCCAGGATTTGCCTTCTGCGAATGGAAATACTCTGCTCAGAGAAGGTTTCTTTGCCTGGCTTTTTTTTCCAGGGGCCAGGTCTTCCCTTCCCTTCCCCTCTACACTACAGCTCATCTTGTTCAGAAGGGTCCTATCCCTAGGATGGCCATCTGTGCAACTCTCCCAGGGAGCTAGAGGGTCTGCAGTGGAGTAGAAAGGGTGGGGAAGTCGTCTTCTGCCAGTCCAGCACATGCACCTCAGTTGGACTCCAACTCATTGTCATTATCCCTTCATCAGAAGCGTACCCATTAATTTTGCTTGCATTATCCTGCTTCTGCTGCTATAGAGTGGAGCATTAGAGAATCTCTCTCCAGGGCAGATGAGCACAATGATAGAAAGATTTACTTCGTGCAACAGGATGTGTGCAGATGCACATGTGAGTTTGTGTGTGTGACAATGGTGGGTCTCCAGATACTGCAATTCCCATCAGCTCCATTTAGCCAGTCAGGGATGACAGGAGTTGGAATCCAAAAACAAGTTCTCCAGCCTGCTACATAGTCATGTATAGGGGTGTTTTCCCCCCTGTATCCGTACCAGAAAGCTGCAGGCCATGACGGGGGTGTTAAGAGACAGGGGCAGGGAGGTGGAAGTATCTATGCCTTTAGAGCAGGATCAGATCTGAAATGACATGGCATGCAAAGGCCGCTTTCCGTTGGGCATTTTTGAGCATACACAATGGGCAGGTTTATGCTCCAGTTGCACATTCCTAGGAACCGTTGCATTGTGAAGGTGCTGGTATTTCTTGTACTCAGGATTCCTCCCCACTGCAGTTCTGGGATTCCTCTACCGGCAGCCACAACAAACAAACTTGTGCGAAAGCGGCTTGCACTGGTCATAACCCCATGCCCTCCAATCACAGGGCCCATTTCCGCCCCGCTCCAAAAAAAAAAAAAATCTGAGTTTTGCAGGCACACTTTTTGCTAACTGCTCCTGGTTTTCTGAAGACCGCGAAGGCCTTCTGCCTGATGTGTAGCAAGAGAAGAAAACAGGGAAAACATGATCCTGCCTGGGCTTGGGCCAAAAGATTCATTTGCACGAGCATGAGTACTTTCACTCCCGCTTAGCTAAATATCTGATTCCTACACACACAACTGGTAACAGACCCCACTTGGCATTCTGCTCTGCAGAGGAAGCAGGGAGTGCTGCTGAGTGGCCGCATGAAGGCTTTGGGAGCGGATGGTCCCCAGGCCCATTTCTGGCATCTCCAGTTCAGAAGCCACGAACAGGAAAGGGCCTTATTTTATGTATTTATGTATGTATGTATGTATTTTCCGATTTATATCCTGCCTTTTTCCTACAAAGGGCTCAAGGCAGCTTACATCTCCTCCTCCATCTTACCCCCACAGCCTTCTCAGACTGAGCTCCATCCTGGAGAGTTGCTGCCTGTCAGAGTGGTTAGTAATGGGCTAGATGGGCCAGTGCCCTGGCCTGGTGTAGGGCCGCTTGCCATTGTTCCTTAAAGAGCAGTGGTGCAGAGCCCCAGGCCTGTGGGCCTAATCCAGCCCTCCTGGGCTCCCAGTCTACCTCCACCTGGATGCTCCCTTCTCCTGGATCCACACCCTTCCTTGCAACCACGGATCAGTGGGTAGTTGCCCAGCTTTTATGCAGTTGTCGCCCTTTCTAAAAGGCTGAAATTCCTCTCTTAAGGCTTAGCAAGAGCTGTAAATTAAAATTTGCAGGTATTACTGTTATTTTGGCACAGGTCCCCTTTGTCTTTGGGCCTACTCCATTTTCCCTTCGGCCTCACCTACAACTGGGACATGTCCCTCCAGTTCTTCTCCGCAAAGAGGCTCCAAGAGGCTCAAGGTCCTATTAGAGGTTTTAGCCCCTCTGAGTCGGCTTTTGCAGGACACAAGAATCTGCAGCAGGGAAACAGAATTGGCAACATATCCACGCGTCTGTAGAAGTGGTTCCATTCATGAAAGTGCATCTTTGGATCCAAGCCATTATCTTTCTCCAAAGACATGCTGTGTTAGCTCATCCCACATTGCTTTATGAAGACAGTTGCTGATATGCTTGCTTTTTCCCAGGGCTGTTCAAAAACTCACTTCGGACAGCAGTAAGGAATCCCAAAGACTATTCCAGAGGATGAAGAACGAGTGGAAAATGGCCAAAATTGCCTTGATTGTCATCTTGCTGTATATAATTTCCTGGACTCCATATTCCATGGTAGCTCTGTTGGGTTTTTCAGGGTAATCATCAATATTTGTTATATCTGCAAGGGAACATCAGTAGCCTAAGAAGCATGAAACAGATTGGCCGAGCAATGATGAATCGAAATGTCTCATTCAGGAAGATACTCATATTCTGCAGCAATAACTGAATTAGGGCAAGTAATTCATGGCTGGACATTCTCTTCCTGCATTTAGCCTCACAGCTGCATGTTTTCAGCTCAGTCTAGGATTATCTATGGGCCAGTGCAGGCAAGGGAACAGCAAACCCTCTTCTTCTGATGCAGGTCACCCACAGCCCATGTCCTGATGGCGGAGGGTTGAAGTCCGAAACATCTGGAGGTCTAGCTTGCAGCTATCCCTACTCTAAGCAGCCTGGCTTTGTCCCCAAGATCAGAGGGAGAGTCTCACCACTCTGATCAATAATTTTCTCAAGTTTAGAGGCAAACTTTCCCTCCATTGTGCCACTCACACCACGGAATTCTTTCCCACGGAATCACTCTCCATGTGACTATTTCCCTATCAGCTTTCAGCCGTCATTCAGCCATTCTTGTTTCTAAAGGGCTTCATCAGTGGTTATCAATAGAGACACCAATTTCACTTTAGTAGTGGTTATTAATATAATTATCAATGTTATTTTGCTGCTGGGCATTTTTCTGCCCTCCTTTTGTTAGTTGCTCTGTTTGTTTAAAGCAGCCGGTGCTGCAGTTTTGTTTCAGTATTTCTATTGTGCAGTTAACTCAGCTGTTACTGTGGTTCCCCATTTGTGTGGTGCCCTTGGGCAGAGAAGTGAATAGTCAGTCTTTCTCTGTGTGACTGCACCCTCCATTTCAACTGTGGTGCATAAAAGAAAAGATTTTTCATGACTGACCTGGCCCTGTGCAACCAGCTCTTGGAGGAAGTTTGGGGAAGAAGATTCAGGTGTACATTTATTATGTAATGAAGCAAAGATGCATAAACATGCCTCTGGCAGAACTGAACCTGAAAGTGTGTTTGCTTCTAGGTACTCTCATCTCCTCACACCATTCATGAACACCATCCCTGCAGTGATAGCGAAGGCTTCTACCATCCACAACCCAATCATTTACGCCATCGCTCATCCCAAATACAGGTAAGCTTCAGCTTTCGTCAAGAAGTAGAGATCATATGAAATGATAATCTCCTTTAGGGTGGGCTGAAGAAACGCAGGAGGACCCAAATCTTGTGCTTTTCATATAGCCTTGTATTGAAAAACTATCCTGGTAGCCACAGGTGACAAGAAATTCCAAGCGGGAGGATAAATCTCTGCATTCAGTGTGCTTGGTTTATAAGTTGGCTAATATGGAAGGGAAGCCCAGCCCTCCGATCTATCCTTCCTCTACCAGTACATTTGGTAGATGTGTTTGTTTGCTTGTTTTATTAGTCTGCTAGTTTCCACGATGCAAGCAGATTTTTACTTGCCTCCTGCATTTCCATGATGAATGTGATGGAAGGGGCTTCCTCTTCTCCATGGCCAGCACAGAAACACAGGCTGGTAGCAGGCTCGTGAAATAGTCCAAGACTAGTAAAGCCTGAAGCTGTTCCAAGGTCCCTGCGCAAGCAGGGAGGCTAAGCAGGTTCAGCATCTCTCCCACCTGCAGCTCAAGCAGCAATATTACCTCACTCATTACTCTGTCTCCTCCAATTGAAATTCACAAGTCAGAAAACACTGCTGGCCCAAAATATTATTTGACTGGGTTGTTGAAGTCTCTTTGTTTGCTCTTTGCTGAGTTTTGAATTAGTTACAGTGTCCAGACCAATACACCAAACAGGACTTAAGTGAGCACAAGAAAGAGGCAGAGAAGCTTAGTCTGAATTGCAGCATATGGGTACAACTCCCCTTCCTCACTCATAGAATGTTATGGGAGGGTTCAAACACTGACATTTTCTCCTTATAACCCTCCCATTCCCCTCCCCTTTCTTTTGTCTTTTTCCTTTCCACAAATGAAAGGAAAGAAAGATGGAGTATCTTTTATACCTAGGCACACCGGTGTGACCTTCGGCTGGATCACCCCCTTGGTCTCTCCAGCTCAGCACTGTGCTACTTACTGCACAGGATTTCAGGAAGGGGCGGAGAAAGGCAGTGGAATTACTCAAACCACATGCCCCTCTCAATGAGCTTTACCTTCTCCCATTCATGTGGAAGCACCCGCGATGACACTGAAGCTTTCACGTGCAACTTCAAACTGAAAGCCACATCGTTTTATTGATAGCAAAAAGGAAAAAACAGTAGCATATGGTACTCTGGTTGTTAAGCTGTAGTGCACGATCTACTCACCACATGGAGAAGCCGCTCAGTGATTTATTTATTTATTTTTATTTATTTTTCTTGGCCACCTTTCAGGGCCAAATGCTTCTCGGGGTGGCTTACAACAATAAAACATGTAATTAAAAACAAATAAAAATGCTAACAACTCTGTAAAAACTGGAAGAGCACAATAAAAACAGCAATGAATTGGGTATAAGCAACTTCTTCCATGATATTGTTGTTCCAAGGAAACCAGACACAAGACTAATCGATTAATATTTTCTGGTAGCACTTCTGGTCAGTAGCTCTAACCACTAGGAAGCTTCTTTCCCCTCCCCCTGACTAGGAACAGAGACTTAAGTTGATGCCAACCCATTCTTTCTTGTCTGGGCTGAAATAACCCAACAACCCTTCATAAATGACAAGCCATGATGGACTGTTATATCATGTGAATCCAGACCAGGTCCTGCAGGGTGGCTTGTTTAACAGCAACAGCTCCCTGACATCCCATGGGCTATGGAAAGGGTTGTTGTATCTACAATGGGTTTTCATGTCATCTGAACCTGTATGACCAATGCCAGGGGTGAGTAGTGGGAATTAGCAAGTGAACTACTTGGTAAGAGCAGCAAACAAACGAACAAATTGCTCTTGTCAAGCTTGACTGGGTCAAGTGACAGCTGCCCCACAACCGCCCAAGCAGCACTTGGGAACAACCGCAACTGCTGAGGAATCTCCTGCTTTGATCACGAGCCCCTCTAGCTCTCTGCTACTTTCCCTCTTTCCCTTGTTTTTTTCCTCAGAGATCATGACAGCTTTTGTTGTCTCCATTTTGACAGTCTCTTCATAGTGCCCAAGGGTCTCTAGAGAGCCCACCCGTGGTTGCAAACCATTTTATTGTTTGGCACCCCTTAATGTGTGCCGGTATTGACCCAATTTATGTTCTCCACCTCTCCCCAGTCTTTTACGAGTGCACATTTATGGAGGTATGTAAATTGGACAGTCTCACCTGAACAATATCAAGGGAAGTATCTAAACATTGACCCAGGGAAGCTCCAAAAAGCGCTGTTCCCCATTGTGGTTTGGTTTGACGGCTGTCAAAATTTCACTATATAGAGTGGGGTTTTTAAATGCAGGTAGATTCATAATGGCAGGAGATGTCTCTTTCTCCCACCTCTTTCATTAAATGAATATACAGTTTTAGCTTATGTAGTACAGTATTGGGATTGCTAGTGTGTGTAGTGTGTGTGTGTGTGTTTACAGTGCTCTCTAGGGAGGGGGAAAAACTGATTGGTTCAATTTCTTATCTACTAGAATGGCGATTGCAAAGTTTCTTCCATGTCTCCAACCTCTGCTAAGGGTTTCTCACAGAGATTCCAGATCCCTCAGCTACGCTTCCACCAGGCGCCCCACAGTCACCAGCCAGTCCTCTGACATTAATGGGCTGCCAAGAGGAACCCGAAGGCTCTCCTCAATCTCAGACAGCGAATCAGTAAGGAAATTCTTCATCTACCTTGTCACAGCATACCAAACAAGGAAGAGGCATTCCGCAAGCTGGCGGGCAGCTTAGATTCAGCAATGCTGCATGTGAGATAGGCACACAGGATCCTGAGCGGATGGCCTATGGTGATTTTCTAAAATGAAAGATTTGGCCATAGAAGGGATTTGAACTTGAGCACAGTTCAGCATGGCTGGATCCAAGGGGTGCTTAACATTAACCATGTTTTGAAGTTGGTTTGTTTCAATAAAACATAGTTAATGCTAACCATAGTTTGCTGGGGTTGGACGTAATGCTAAACTGTGGTTAGTTAAAACAGAAAGTGAAATTTTCTGATATCCTTCATACAGCCTTTCCCTACAGAGGAAAGAGGGCATGATTGTGAGGCTAATGATAAACCACGGAGGTTTTGAAAAACTTAGATCTAGAAATTGATATTTATGTATCTGAGAATTTCAACTGCTACTGGATAGCTCTTTTTTAATCAGAACTTGAGTATACTGATGCTAGCAGCATTTTAAAATTCATTTAAAATCAAGGATCTATACCTGTCCAGATGTTATTGGTCTTCAACTCCCATCAGCCCCAGTCAGCATGGTAAATAGTCAGGGATGATGCATGTGGGTGGGTGGATCTGCCAAGCATGCTCCTTTGTCAGTTCTAGCACGACTATTCCTGGCATTGGAGCTTGAATCTTGTGTTACTTCAGCCTGCTTTTTTGTTCCTGCGTGTGATTGCCGGGCTGCTGTGCGAGCCACTTGTATTTGCATGAACATCCAACTGGGGACCCAAACACAACTGGGAAAAGTCTGGAAAACCTTTCTGGAGGTCTTCAAATCTTTATTACCAAGGCTTTCCTTAAGAAATCTCAGAAGAGCCTTCATATGACCAGAAACCTCTGCTTACAGGGCAATCCCTCGTGTAGCCCTCCTTATGCACCTCTGCTCTCCCAGTCCTGCTTTCAGTAATCCGATTTGTAGGATGAGAGAAGGAACAAATAAAGACTCATATGATGCTTCTTCCAAAGAGGTGCAGAGGTGCAAACAATTTTGGATTCGGGGGGTTCTTAATTCCTCTGTGTTGCTGCAAGAAGAATCCTTATGTTGCCGGAGTGTGAATGAGAGAACAAGCAACAGGGATAGCAGCTCAGCTAGCCAGAGGTTTCTAGTTGCATCGAGGCTCTTCTTAGAGTTCCCATGTGAACAAGGTCTAACTCATTTGTGTTTCTGGTTAACAAAATAAGTTTTTGGACATATCAAGAGGGAGGAATTACTCGAGGAAGGCATCTCATTACTGCAACGATAATATGGTATGCCCTTCCAACAGGGCGAAGGCTATATGTTTGTGAATAATGCTCTCATATGTACAGCAGACTGCATTTAGAAGATTTGCAATGTATTTAGAGCAACAGAGTCCATCAAAGACCATTCCTCCATTTCCTCCACTCAGAATAGCTCTTGACAGTTGCTGTTTTGCTGTGCTAAGTACCACTACATGTTGTTCCTTGTGCAGAAGCCGGATACAGTTCTGCAAGTTAGAGTCAGAAACTCGCTTTCTGAGCTATTAAAGGCACATTAGTAGTAGGATATTTTTCAAAGCCTGAGCTGTTGTTGTTGTTTTTTTTAAAAAAGACAAGCTCTAAAAACAGAAAAATGCTATTATGTCCTCTAAGCTGTTACATTTTTTCAGCTAATGTGCTTTTAGGGCAATCTGACATGTTCTGAATTCTTACAGAGGCTTTCAGCTGTGACGGTTTGGAACTCCATATATTGTATATCCCTGATTTAAAATCCAACAAAGCAGATCTTATTAAAAGGAATCAACTTGGAGAGTCCATTTCCATGGAATATACACATTCACAAAGAAGGCAAAATGAATGCTTGAGTACATTCATAAGTGTTTTGTTGGTGCTTGGGGTAGGGCTTTTCATTGCAGAAAGGTTAATGTTTTTCAGTCCTCTCCTCACACTGAAGGATGTGTACCCTCTAGCAATGGGATGACTCTGGTTCTCATGCTCTGTCTCTTTGTCACAGTCTCATGTGGCCATTTAGTTAGGAATGGGCTTCATGGCTCTCCTTGATTCCCGTGAGACAGCGTAATTAGCAGAGAGCCAGTGTGGTGTAGTGGTTACGAGCGCAGCGTCTGGGACTCGGGTAATTGGGGTCCTAGTCCCTGCTCAGCCTTGGAGCCAACTGGGTGACTTTGGGCCAGTCACCATCTCTCAGCCCAACCTCCCTCACAAGGTTGTTGCTGTGGGGGTGAGATTGAGAGCAGAAGGACGAGAATGATGCAAGCCGCTTCGAGTTCTTTAAAAGAGAAACGGGCAGGAGATAAATCAAATCAATAAACGCACTGCCATCTGCAAGACTTTTGGATGAAAAGCAAAGCAGGGTTTCAAAGGACCTTTTTGGCGGTGTATCATATTTCTCTCAATACACTACCAATACAGTACGCTCCATTCACTCCTATGGGAAAAAGAAAAAGAATGTTCATTATTTTGGAAGGTTTTTACCAATGGAAAGTAAGAGAGCCTAAAATAATGAATGGACGTCATTCTGGTGCCCTCCGTGGAAAACAGGTGCTGCGGCCCTGCCTCTGCTATTTCACATGCAGGACAAAGGTGGCGGTAGGAGGCTGAGTGAGGCAGAGGAACAAACCCTGGGCCCCAACCCCAAGAACACGTTGAGACTGAGTCTGCCAATCCCCAAGGCTGCAGCCCTGGCCCAGATTCTGAGGGGGACCTGCCTCCTCACCACCATGGGCTCCATGGTTCAGTGCTCCTACCTGCCAATGCAGGGAACACACCAGGTGAGAAATGGTGTGGTGAGGATGGGGTAGCCTTTTTATGGCTCACCACCCCTAACAAGGGGAACCTGGGCTAGGAAGTGCATAAGATCTAGACTTGAGATCTTCCTCGTCTTCGAACTTGGGCTCAGCAGAATCAGCAGCTGAGCTGAGAGAGGCTGGATTGCTCAGAGAGATCCCCTGGATGGCCCCACCTGGTGCCAGTATCTGAGCACTGGCCTGAAGGATCCCTCGTGGGCGCTGTGATGCATGTGGTGGAACCACTGGCTCAGTTGGGATACCCATTCATGTGGAGCCCGTGCCTGTACAGTCGTGCTCTTCGCCTCTTTGCAGGTGTCAGTGTCAATGCACAGGCGCTGGAGGTGAGGCAAGTTAGCGTGGCTTGGCCTGCAGCTTTTTCTGCCCGTGAGACCACACTTTACCAGGGTTTTCCAGAAGGAAAGTCCCTGTCTGAGGTCCTGTAACTCCAGCTTGACCCTCTGAGCTGATGGAGTTCGGCTGGGCCAGCCCTGCAACACACACTCCGCCCTAGCGTCTCCCCTCACTCTGTGGATTCCCACTTTCGGCCAGGACAAGATAATGTTACCTGATGCCAAGGCACAGGCTTCCCTAACACATAGGAAAATACTGTGTCAAGCAGAAGGGTTTGGTCTAACCCCAGGTTGTTGGGTTGCTTTAGTCTGGCGGTTGGATTCTTCTTGCTCCATGAACCAACCTTGTGGACCAGGTGGGGTAAGGGGCTGGGCACTATCCCCTGCCCCCGAAGCGGTTCTCCCTCCCTGAAATCCCCTGGCCACCCCCAGTTTCCTGCTTCTGCTGCACCTGCCCCTCTCAGTGGGGAAGGGCTTGGCCAGTGCTTGGCGGAGTGACTTCTCCAAAGGCTGCCCGCACTTGTCACCCCAGATGGGTCGGTGAGTGGCGCACGAATGGACCTGGCCTGCAGGACAGCCAGGCTGCCAGTTTTGTGCACCACGCGTCTTCCGGGGAGGCTGGAGGCTTCTCATTCCTGGCCTAACCCTTTACCTTGTTTTTTGTAGAGAACTTGTATTTCCAGCGGAGATGCACTCAAACATGCAAGCCCCATGTGCATCCAAAAGTAGAAGCAGCCTTGCCGTTTGTGACTGGATTTGTTGAGGCTTCTTTCCTGTTTCCAGCTCCCTTCTTTAGTTGCCCCTCTTCGGCACCAACCTTAAGTGCTCGAGGAAAAATAATCGAACTAGTCGAGAGTCTATAACATGTTAACATATTACTGCAGGATTGGACTGACACGGAGGCGGATCTCTCTAGTCTGAACTCCAGAGGTGCTAGTGGACAAGTTTCGTACGAAATGGGTGAAGACACCACGGAAATGAATGACAGCGAAGTCAAATCTAAACTGAAAAGCCATGATTCAGGGATTTTTGAAAAGGTAACGAAATGCTGTACTCTCCGTCTAGACTGTGTCGCAGAGATCTGCAGTGGCCCAAATTATTTTCCATCATTATATTTTTCTCATGCCCTCATCTCCTCGCAAACACTTTCACTCAGCAGGAAAGGAGCCCTTAGAAAATGGAATAGGGAAAACTCAGCAGCTTGTGTTTGGCCTACCTGACACCCCTTCCCCAAATCCACCGTTGTGTCCCAGTGCCCTCTGCATGTTTTGTCTTCAGCCCCAGCCAGCCAGCATGACTGGTGACTGCATGAGTTTGAGCCCTCAGCATCTGGAGAGCTTGAGGCTGCCTCATCAAGCCCTAGAGAAGTCACGGCACATGTGCAGGTCTGGGTGCTCTTGTGCATTCCCTCTCCCGTCCATTGACATGATCGTGACTTCCAGCACGAACTGGCCAGCAGCTGCTTCACATTTCATCTTGTGGATGCAAGCGGATGAGCCTGGTTTCATTCTCACCTCTTGATTATACTTTTCACAAGTGCTGTGGCATTAGGGCAGTCTCAAAGCACAGGAGGCTGCATGCTCAGTCCCCCTAACATTGGAAGGAGCGAAGTTACAGCAATATAACGCAATAAGCACAAATGGAATCACATTTCCACTCTCAATCAGATGGACAGTTGTCCAAGTCTTGACAGGCCTCCACACCTCAGGACTTGAAATTTGTCACAAGGCAGAGAAACAGCAGCACATTTCAAAAGTGGTGACAGCATTCTTCTCCTGCCAAGCAGGTGGCATCGATTATTCCTTATCCTAATTCCATTTAGGGATGTATTCAGGTGGGATACCCAGAAGATAAGGAGGTTGTGTGCATCTGAGAATGTTTATTTAGGAGTCCAAATGGGGGCAGAAAAGGAAACCTGCCACAGCCCTGCACCACCATAAGCTCAACTTAAAACTCTCCAGAGCTGATTTTAAGCATGGTTCTGGTTGCTGTCTTTTTAATGGCCCCTCTCCTCTGCCCTGGAGCAAATCTTGGAACACACACGGGTGGTGCAGTGGTCGCAGCATCGGCTGGAACTTGGGAGATCCAGGGTCTAGTCCCCGCTCAGCCGTGGAGCTCACTGAGTGACTTAGGACCCGCCACAGGGCTCTCAGCCAAAGCTACTCAAAGATGAATGTGAGAATAAAAGGGAGAAGAAGGGGACCATGGCACAGATTATAAAAAGCTTGGTACCAATGGAGTTAAAGATAAATAAATACAAGTAAAGTGTAACAAGAGAAGATTTTCTTACCTTTTATCTATGATGTGAAAAACATTTTTCTAGGTCATTTGATTCTGCATGTCACATTGATCTGAGAGCCACAGAAAATAGGGTGTGTGTGTGTGTGAGAGAGAGAGAGAGAGAGAGAGAGAGAGAGAGTCAGGATGACAGCTGGGAGGAATAGCATCTGGTATTCTGCTTCCAGCTCTGTATCACTGCCTGTGCCCATAAGGGAGCTTGAGCAGTATATTAGATACCTAGCTTTATTTTAATTCTTCTATGTTTAAAAAACTCCTGCATTTTGGCTTCTTTTTCTCCTATGCATTTTTGCTTTGGAAAATCCAAAAGACGGTTTGGCTTCCCTTAACTGCAGCTGTATCCCATAAATAATGCATTGCTATCAAGAGTGGCTAGCGGAAAACAAAGCAACACTGTCTGCAGCCAGGACTGTGGCTGCCCCCCCCCACCCCACTGCCCTGACACCCCCCCCCCCAAAACACACACTCCATTCATCTTGCAGGCTTTCTTTCTTGGGGGGTTCTGCAGGGTGCCTTTGTTTGTGCAAGGGCTTCCTTTTGTGCCTGGTGTTTCGTGGCCTTTCACCTGTGTCCCCCCATCCCTGTTTCCCTTCTTTCTCCCATGAATGGCCACAGTGCCGCACGATTCCTGTTGTGGGTTCGATGGCTGTGCATTTCACATGCTTCCCACTGTTCCACGATCAGCTGCTGGAAACGTCTCAGACCCTTCCTCCTGCCTCGCTGGCTGGGGATGGAGGAACGGGATGGAATAGGAGGGGGCGATTTGTGGACCTAGGCGAGGAGCTTATTTCCACGTGCATCGACCTGTGCAGTGCAGGTCCTGGTGCTGGGGTACATGCCAAACACCTAGGCGCTCCTCATTCCATTCCTACCAAGCCAGTAGTCTGGCCCATCCTCATTGCACTGGGCACAACACAACCTGTACTTAGTGAACAAGTATATAAACATAAAGTGGGCGTGAATTTCTACTAGTCCTGTTGCAGGATGAGATCATGACGTGAAGCATGATAGAGCCAAAGCACGGAAGTGTTTCTGTTGCTACCGCACTTCTTTCTTCCCTTTTATAGACTTCTGTGGATGCAGATGAGATTTCCGTGGCGGAGGTGAATATCATCGCGTGCCATTTTCTTTCGGTGGGATGAATGTTTCATGGGACCTTTTCTGTGGGGGCAAGTGGGGGCACAGAAAAGAACGCACTACCATGCTACCATAGGCTGAGCTCCTCTCATCTGAGATGCCCCGGTGAGATGCTAATATGTCACAGCCTGTTGTAGTTCAAATACCGCCCTGCTTCCTTCTGAGTTCTAGCTCTTAAGGTAACCACAGCAACTGTAGGAGTTGGTATTTGCATATTTTACAACTCAGTCTCTGCTTCTTGCTGTAAATTTCAAAAATGCTATATAGGGAACACAGTTTTCCATTCCGTGGAACTGATTCATTTGCCATTGTCTATTCTATGGTTGGTAGAGCAAAAACAAAGACATCCGGCCCTTCCCTTAGAAAACATCAGCCGTCTTTCCACTAGTGCAGCAAATCCTCCCTTCACTGGCTCCAGCTGTCCTCTCCGCTTGTACTTAGCAGGCGAACAGTGTTCACTTTACTTACCCGGGACTGAAGAGTGGCTAGTGGAAAAGGGTAAGCCTAGAACGGCCCACTATCTTACAGCCTCTTCTTTCTCCCTCTAAAATACAAATAACAATTTGCCTAGCTCACAGAAGTGCTGCTGAGGTCACCCCCACACCCTTTCTTAGTCTAGTACATGCAATGTCTGATGTACAGGTGCTCATCATGACAAGTCTCCATAGCCAAGCTCCCAGCAAGGGTCCAAAAATTGCAGAGAATTGTGCTGATCCATCTGAACAAGGTAGTTCTTGGGGTTTTCATCTGCCAGGAGCAGGTCTTCTGCAAAGTTTTACTGCCCATTCAAGACCAACCTATCCCATTTCAAGGAACAGTATTGTGTTGCTGGTAAAATTCATTTTCTCTACGCTGTTGTGAGGCATGCAGCCACAGCCAGAGGGAACAGGGAATGCCGAGGAGGGTGGCGCTTGAGCTCAGCATCCTTGTGAAGACTGAAGCGCTAGGATGCACCCCTACCAGCGACGATGGGCATGCAGCTGAGGCTGCAGTCCTGCGCTCTCTTTCCCATTCACTCAGACCTATTTCTGAGGGCTTTTCTACATGAGGGTGTAACCCACTGCTTTAATGAGACTTCTGCTCTGAGTGAAGAAAAGCACATCTGTTGCATGGCTCCCCCCTCCCCTAGCCCATTTGGCACAGCCGTAGCAGAGCAGAATTGCAACTCTGTGCACGGATTTCATCCAGGTTTGCTTAAATGATTGAGATCGAGACTTCTGTGGGATTTAGAAGTTAGTAAACATGCAACAGCATAGGCTCGTGATTTGATAGAGATGCATGATGCAAAATGATCTATTCCAGTTGTCATGTTCACAACCAATGTACAGATTTGTCCATATGACTAGAAAATGTTGCACAATTCTTAATTTTGTTTCTGTAGGACTTACCCTTTGGAAGCTATTTCTTTCAAGATAGCCTGGTAGGTTAATTTCCTCCTTTTACCAATAGCCTGTGGCATGGGTGATGGTCTCTCAATGTTATTGCTGTGTTCCCGGAAGGAATGGATCCTGCCAACAGATCTTGGCCAACGGATCTGGTACAAGTGTCCAGGAAAGCCACAAACCAACATGTCAGAGGAGTGGGGTGAAAGGTCTTCCTTTGTCAGATGCCACACCTGCCTTCCCCAGCCTGGTGCTCCCCAGATGTTTTGACTGCTGGCCATGTTAGGTGGAGCTGATGGGAGCCGACGCGCAAAGCACCTGGAGAACACCATCTTCAGGAAGGCTGTGCTAGACACAGGCCCTGTTGCAGTTGTGCGCCTGAGCTCCTGCGCCTCAGATGAGTATCTGCATTTGCATCAAATGACACCTCCCAGCAGTTTAATCTGACCAGCGGGAGCCGCACGCAGATTCAGACTGGCTACATGCGCACAGGGATTTTCAACACTGAACTCCACTGGTTTGGCCATAACTTGCCTGCTCTGGGTAAAAGCCCTATGAAAAATTAATATTGCGCATTCAGATAAGTTGCCTTGCCAACTGTTCAACATACTGAAGACTGTTAACAGAACAAAAGTCTAATCTTCTTCACGAATCATGAGTATGATTCTGACACCCAGATTGTGTTCTCTAGATCTGAAATAACAAAATAGACTGTATCACTTAAACTGCACAAGTGTGTTTCATTTTTAAATACTCACCTAGGTAAAAGTAGTAGAGCAGTGAGCAAGTGCCACTGTGGCGTAGTGGTTAAGAGGGTGGGACTGGGACTCAGGCAACCTGGGTTCTAGTCCCTGCCTAATCTTCTTCACGAATCATGAGTATGATTCTGACACCCAGATTGTGTTCTCTAGATCTGAAATAACAAAATAGACTGTATCACTTAAACTGCACAAGTGTGTTTCATTTTTAAATACTCACCTAGGTAAAAGTAGTAGAGCAGTGAGCAAGTGCCACTGTGGCGTAGTGGTTAAGAGGGTGGGACTGGGACTCAGGCAACCTGGGTTCTAGTCCCTGCTTGGACGTAGAGCCGACTGAGAGCCCTTGGGCCCAGGTGCTTAGCCCAGCCAGTCACAGACGCTTAGCTAGGGAATGACCTTCCCAGGCAGAATCCTCTGTCACCTAGGCTGTACTCTTCCTTATTTTCCCATGCATTTTAGTTTCACTCTGTTTTAAAACCTCTATTTTTATTTTTACTACCCCTATGTCATACATGAGTTCTCACTTTTATTTTATACTGTACTTTTAACCACTTACATTTTATGCTGTATTTATGCTATTTTTCCATTGTTTTAAATTGCTGTTAACTGCCCAGAGAGTTTTGGCTACTGGGAAGTATAAAAATGTAATGAATAAATAATAACTTTACTCTTTGGTGCTTGCTTCAGACAGGGGAAGACCTGAATAATTTTGGACCAAGAGGAGAAAGCTCTTATTACAGAAGGTCTCCCGCAGCCCAGATTCCTAGCATTATAGTGACCTTCAGCAATGTCCAGAGAACAGAACTGCCTTCAGAATCCAACACGGATCCCTCATACTCCAGGAATAGTGGCTATAGCTGGGAAAAAAATGCCAGCAGCCAGCTGGAATGGCTGTACCAGGGCAGTGCCTTTGCTCCTGCTTCAGAAACCAACATGTGTCAGCTTAGCGTAGAAAACCTTCCAAAACTTCTTTGAACCAGGGCTGGCCCAACAATCATCACACTTCCTTTACAATCAGGATTCAGAGCCAGTTCCGTGAAGCTTCAAAGAGCAGCTCCAAAAGGAGCAAATCATTCATTCTTTTATGGTTGTTCGTTTTCAGTCCATGTGTTAGCGATTATTTTTACTCTCACCTTCAGGATGAGAACAAGACTATTCTTTGGACTTTGAGAGAAGGTTTGAGACTCTGCTCGGGGTCAGGATGATCGTCTTTCTGTCTGTTCCCACAGCCTCTGGTCCCAATGCCACCCCCCTCAATTGCTTTTCCCTTTACCTAGATGCTTCCCCCCACCCCCCACACAGAAATCCTCAGCAAAAGTTCTGTGAGAGCCTTTCCCCTTACCCACATCCGCTGCATGAGGGTGTCCTGTGACATTGTGCTGCCAGGTGCAAAAAACAAGCAAGATGGCAACTGCCCTTCACGCAACCTCCCATGGGCCCAACCGGGCCGGAATGGCAGTTCGGCCAACCTGGGAAAGGTGTTGCTTCGCACCTAAAAGGTTTAGGGCCAAGGCTCAGGGACACAGATCCATCTGCTGCTTTGTCTGTCTATCTGCAGACAGAGAAACAGGAGATTTTATTTACATTTAACAGAGCCAGCAAGTTAAGGTCTTGTCCAAATTCTTCCAAATGACATACCTTCTGTTAATTTGCACCCTGCCCCAGTTCATCTCCAAACCGTGGAAAAAGGAGGTTTCCCCCAGCTTGACTGAAGGGCAGGAAAGATCTCTGGTGAAGGAGACATTGCAGGGTTTAGGCACAGCGATGTGAACCCTTCCCTGCCTGGCTTCCTTTCCCTGTGTGGCAGTTAAGCTGGCGGGGGGCGGACTTCTACTGGCATCAGTGAGCACTCAGAGCTTTAAGAAGTAGATTTGGTGTATCACCCTCATAAAATGAGGTGTACTAAGACCTTTGCATCCTAGTCTAATGCACCTGAGAAAAGCTTAGGGAGCACTGCATGACAGTTTCCATGGTGTACCTGCACATACAAACACAGCTCTCTGTTCTCCACCATCTCACAGCCATTTTCTGGTCCCAGAACCTGTGGACCGAGGTGCCCACCCTGCTCTGTCTAATAGCTACTCAGTCAACTCCCAGAGATGGGCAAAAGGGATGAACAGATGAGGTTGCGAAGAAAAATTCCCTTTGTATCTGGTCTTGCCATCCTTTTAAGAAGGTTCTATGTTAACAAATACTAGTTCCCTGAACAAGAGACTTATGTGTATATTTGTGTCTTGCAGTCAGTTGGTGGTTGTTAATTCCTGTCTTGCTGTTTTGGGGGTTTTTTCTGTACAAGTCTGCTGTTGTAAGATGTCTTTTTTAATAGTAAAGATAGTGGGAAAGGGGCAGTAGAGGAGAAATTTCATTACTGTTTGTCTTGGGTGGGTCATCATATCTTCTGGCAGTCCCCCCTTTTCTTCTTGACCTATGTTTGTCACATTCTACATGATATTCATTTTAAAAAGCCAACCATTACAAGTAGAAGTATTAGATAATTTCTTGGCTGTTTAGAGAATTGCTGGTTCACATGTGACTTTCTCTGCCTCCTAGTTACAATCAAGTGCTGAGCATGGAGTCTCCGACAAGGCGAAGGGTGACTGTAGGATAGGCTGGGCAACTTTGTGAAGTCTAGGGGATCTAGGGGATCTTACCCAGAAAAAAATAAAGAAGGGCATAGAACATGCCCAAAGGGTACAAATTAACATGTTTTCAAGATATTTTTGACATGTTGGGGTCAATAGTAGTGACAGAGCACTAATAGTCTCTCCAGATGCCATTAAAAAATACTTTACAATTTTGGGTGCCAACGGGATGGCAGCAAAGGCTGTCCTTTTCTTACTGCAGCTCCCAGCCTGGTTCAAGTACATGCAACCTGGTGCCCTCCAGATGTGCTGGACTACAATGCCCATCACCTCCAACCAGTATGCCCAATGATCCGTTCACTTGGAATGAGAGGAGATGTAATTCAATAGACCTGGATGGTGCTGGGTTTGAGGAGGCTGGTAGAGAATTCCAAGCTGAATGGAACCAAGGTCCAACATATTCCTGGCTCTGGGAATCAGAGCTAGGAATATTTTCTTGTGTGTTGTTAGTGTCTGGTTTCCAGTTGTCGCCTCCAGCCAGCAGTCCAGTAGGGATTCGATGCCCAGCACTGCATTCCACGAGCCCTGCAACGCTAGACTCAAGGGCAGGAGCCACCATGGATGGAGACGGGATTCCGTTCAGGCAGCGGGTTTAGTTGCATCTGGGTGGAGCCAGGAGTTTTGCGTGGTTGTTCCATTCTTGTTGGAGACAGGCCATCAAATTCTCCTCTGGCTTCATGACTGGAGAGAGCCTTTGATGACAAAGCCCAGAGGCAGAACAATCCACCTAGACCAGGGGTCGGCAACCTCTAACACTCAAAGAGCCATTTGAACCTGTTTCCCACACAAAAGAAAACACCCGGAGCTGCAAAACCCTTTTGACATCCAAAATGAAGATAGCACTGCCTATATCGTTTTTTGCCTTAATGCTATGTATATCTTCATTATGATTTAGCTGCAGCTCTTGTTCAGTCACTAAAAACTGCTGTTTTTAATCTTACATTAAATATTAAAATGTAAGATTAATATGAAAGATTACTATGAAAGGACTCCTTTCATATATTTTGAATAGGAGAACAGCTTCCTGAAGAGTAAAAGTCAGTGCTAAAGGGCTGCATGCATTAAACAGCAAACCCCATAAGTTCGTCAGCAGTAAAAGCAAATGAATCTACCCACGTACCATTAAACATTCAGTTTTCTTCAGAAACTTTTCTTCAATTTATCCATGATTGGCCTACGGGGGTGGGGGGGGGGAGCTCAGTAAATTGGTGTGGGTCCCAGATCAGCTGTGCCAGAGATATAGGTGTGTTTAGTGACTGATTAGCAGATAAACAGTCAAGTGCTGTGAATTGTGACAGGTCCCAAGCGCAGCTTTTATCCTTCAGAGGAAGGAGATTACTTGGGACAAAGAGAATCTTTTCAGCAGCAAAGAGAATCTTTTCGTGTAACAGGAGAGCCTGCAGGAAGCTGGTTTAGCAGAGGAATGTAGCGATTTCCTTAACTAGCTGATTTCCTTAACTAGCTAGTGCTGCCTTCCTGAGTGGAGCTTCGAGCAGATCAGTGGCTGTCCCCGCGCGTGTTTTGAGTGACGGAGCCGCAGCAGAGGGGTTCAAGAGCCACATGTGTCTCTGGAGCCGCGGGTTGCCGACCCCTGACCTATACAATCAGTCCACCTGCTTCCTCAGAAAAGACAGATCCAGGCTAATAAACCTCCCCATGTGATCTTTTCATCACACCCTCTGCTCTATGCACAGCATGGAGGAAGCGAGCTCATGCAGACCATATATAAACTCTCCCCAAGTTCCTTGGATGTCTGAGGAAATACAAAGTTATGTTTGCCATCTCAAGGGTGTGTGTGTGTGTGTGTGTGTGTGTGATATGTGTAGTAATATGTCTGTCAAGATCCAGGGATGCAGGTCATGGACAGGAGCCATCCTGTCATGGAAAACATAGCATGTCGAATCGTACACGCTACAACTCATCTGTATGTTACAGGCTTCACTGGAGACCATACGGAATAGGCTCTGTACTGGTCACTGGGCTGTATGTCTGCATTATATGGAGACACTATGTAGTTACCAGGGAGTTGTTACAAGAACCCTCATCAGGCATGCCGTCCCTTCCATGAAGAGGAGTTTTGGGTTAAACTCGCTAGTGTTGTCCCCTCTGTCTCATCACCCACCATCTTCCATGTACTGCGAAGGCAAATTTTTGCAGCTCGGAGCCTTTTCAACTTGTGGGAATCCCTTGGGTTATTTAGAGCAATGACCTTTCCGAGTCGTAGGAAGCTTCCAAGATTAGAAAAGTGCCTTCACTGCAAACATTTGCTTTCCCAGTATGTGGAGGGCAAGGATGCTGAAGACAGAGCTGCAACAGCAGAGGCAGGGGCGATGCCCTGTCTTTATGATGCTAATCTCTGTGAGGCTGAATAGGATGAACGTAGCTCATGGGGCTGATGTAGGGACCAGATCGAATGTGTTACAATGGGGGCAACAGATCCATCATGTGGAGGCCATTTCAAAGGGTCTCCGCATGATAGCTGCAGTGTGTATTCTGGGCTTCTGTCAACAAGATGTTGGGATGTGAACCTCCACTGTGCCCTGAACTTGACATCTGAGAAATGACAAGGAGAGAGCCAGCCTTTGCCCCATCACCACCACCCAGCCTTTGGCCAAAGAAGAAGCTACAAAGAGATGGGTGGGTCAAACCAACAAGGAACCACCCAAAGAATAATAGGCCAGGCCGGGACAAGCCTTCTCACTTGTAAAGCTGCTGTTCTTTCCACCTCCCGAATAAAATGTATCTGATGTGGGACAGTCTCCCAAAAGCAAAAGGCAGTGTAGCTTTTGCTGCCAACAGGGACTGGATCATTGTATTTGGGAACAGATAATGTAACTAAAATGTTTTTTGTGATTTTTGCTATTTTGAGTATCTTGACGTACCTCTCTCTCTCTCTCATATATGTATGTATGTGTGTGTATATATATATATATATATATAGTATACAACTCCCCACCAAATGCCTATAGGTGGCCAAATATCTGTATTCCTTTGCTCCTGACATTATTACTCCCATATATTACTTTGAGACCAAAAACAAGATTATGTGGTCAATGAAGAACAACGGAAATATATTATTCAGAAACTAGGATGCTTTCCTGTAAACAAAATAAAGAGATGAAAGAGATCTATTATAACTCCTGCCTTCATCTGTCAATGCAGGATATTGGTCTCAGATAGACGGTATACAAGATATTAAACTGATTGAGGAGAGACTGAACTATAGCAAATAGGAAGAAGGATGGAGAAAAGATCAGACTTGGTTTGGCCCTAGCTAGGCCTTGAATTCAATTTCTCCTATTAACAAAGGATATTCAGGAATGCAGATTCCGACACCTACATGGCAATTTCAAACAGCCCAAAACCTGTCATCATTTCTAGAGGTCCTCCATCACCATAAGTTAATTTATGTTTATTTAATTAATTTTACACTGCCTTTCAGAATGAATTATTCCTTAAAAGTGCTTTACAGTAGCCTGCAAAACAATACAGTATTGAGACAATACAATCTGATCACACAAAACAACACGGATATTAAAACAGTACATAGACCAATCCGTCAGATTTTTTTAAAATAGCTAAAAAAAAACCCATTAAAATGGCCATTGCAGATAAAAGAGTTGCAGCACCAGATGATCATTCAAAAGCCAATTGTAATAAAAGGGTTTCCAGCTCACCTAAAGGCTAAGAAGAAGCTACCTCTGCCGCCATATTTATTCTCCTGGGGAGCCCATTCCAGTGATGCGGCACCTCTGTAAAACGTCCTTGTCCACATCCATCACCCCAACAGTTCTCACAGAGCAGGTGCACAGGAGAGCGGGAGTTCGGTTGCTGGTTCAAAGGCTCAAACATGCACACACGCAGCCAGGTGGTGCATCTCAGTGTCATGCTTGTGAATTACTGAGTGAGTCTATTATTTTAACTAGGAAGCAACTTGAGCTGGTGGGGGTAGGAATAAGGCACTTGGTTTTATGCAGCTGCTGGGTTAATTAATTGATTGATTGATTTGTGTGCATGTGTGTGCATGCATGCATGTGTTTACTACTTTGTAGTAAGCTTTTATGGCTGGCAATTAAAATAAACTGGTATTTTGGTTCTACCCCTTTTGCTTCTCCATAATGGAATTCGGCCTCTGGGCTAAAAGAGGTTCATCACCGTGCTGAATGCAGTTGCCAAGAGAGCATAAAATCCAACACATCTCTAAGTCAGAAAAAGTCACACAGCTCCTGACTTCGCAAAAGGATGCGGAGGGCTTTGGGGCTTCCTTCTGATGAAACATTTGGCCCTTCCAATGTGCTGCACATCACCTCAGTTGCTCAAGGAAGCCATGGAAAACATGTGGGAAATAAATGAGCTCCGTGAACTCCAGCACCTGAAAGGACCTTCAGACCTTGAAAATGAGAGGACTTGTGCTGTATAACAACAGAGGTGAGTTAATCGATTTTACCACTCCTATTAAAGGAGGGGCATTGTTGGAGTGCAGTCAAGTACCCACCAACTGGCACCTTCTTCTCACAGCCTGATTTGTGTGTAACACAGTTTGGCACATTTAATATTCCTCATTGCTCTGGCACAACATTACCTAAGGCAGGAATTGAGGAAATCCCTCCTCCGCCCCTTCTAGCACCCTCTCAATTTCAGCTGTAATATTCAGCATGTACCAGAGAAAGTTCTCCTGCTATAAAAAGCTTCACAGCTGTTAGAACGTGTCTGCTTTCCAGAGGATTGAAATGTGGGTTTTAATTAGTGAATAACTTACTCCTGAAGCATTTAAAAGCATTTTTCTCTGAGTGTGTAAAAACTACAGTCCTTCATCCCCCTCCTCCTCTTTCAGGGGAGCATGTTTAAACATCCAGACTTCAACACAGGGAAAACTGAGCCAGGCTACAATTTATCATAGTAAATACTGCATAATCATTCATACAGAAGTAAACTATTGTGGGTTTCATCCAATATGATGAAGCTCTCACAAAGAAAGTGTGCGTGCTGATCTATGACAGCGGTGTAGGACGTCTGGGCCCCTGGCTTTGCTGCTTTCCACCCCACTAGATCATTTGGAGGTCTCCTCGTTTTTTACACACTATTCTTCCCCACCGTAAAGGATTGGGACGCCTCTCCTCAGGTTCAGTTACAAGCAGCAGGAACTTTAAGCTAAGCGAGGCTGGTATGCTGGGCCTGCCCCCTTTGCGTTTAAGCCCCACGCACTGCTGGCCTGCCTCCACAGCTTCTCCAAAACCAACTGCGGCTCTTGGTGGAAGGAGGTTCAGTACTCCAGATCTGTGTCGACAGGCTGAGTGAGGCATGCAACATTTCTCCTGCAGCAGCTCTCTACACAAAGTAATGGCTTCCAGTCAGAGCTGGGTGGCCAGTGGGTAGGCAGAAGGGCCTGGCCCATCCCATTAGAGGGAGCTACTGCATGGATGATGATGATGATGATGATGATGATGATGATGATTCCATTTTTCCTCTCCAAGGCATCCAGGCCAACTTACGTAAACCTCCTCTTCTTCATTTTATCCTCACGACAACTCTGTGAAATAAATTATCCTGAGAGCCCCCACCAACAACGTTACACAGGAAGAGGTGAATTTGTTAGTCAGTCACACCCTGTGTTCAGTGGTATACCAGAGCCAGGGAGTATAGGGTCCTTGCACGAGCACGTTTTGATTAGTGGGGTCACTGATGTCATGGGCCACTCTCTCGGAGTGGCTGTGGAGGGACCCTTTTCCCCTGAAGCAACGTATTCTTCCATGTTGTAGTGCAAAGTTCTTTGGGGAGGCTTAATCTCGCAAAAGACAAGAGGTGTATCAACTCTCCTTGTGGGTTATCTACAGAGTACTTCCAAATTTGCCCCTGCCTCTGACTGAACCACAGAATAATTTGGTTTCATTTCAACTAAGGCACAGACAACTGAAATTATCCTGAGATATGTCCATGCTGAAGCTTCTTTTAATGCGGGGATTAAAATCAATACTATTGCTAGGCCATCCACAAGAATAACTTCATTTTAGATTGTATCAGGCAGCTGGGCTGTTAAAGTGTCTTTCACAAAATGCACATCTGAAGCCTGTCTCCACTCTCATCACATGTTGTACATGTTGAAAATTGAACATCCCATTAAACTAAAATATGCTTTTGGGCTTCGAGAGGGAGGTAGCTGAGGAGGTGGATTTTGGTCTTTCGCATTAGAACCACTGTCCGTGGGGACTACTATCTAGAGAAGAAACTGTGAGAAGCACAAGAAGCTAAGACATGAGCTCTTTACCTCTTGAGACATAGTTCAAATTTCAATTCGAGTGGCTCAGGTGAAAATGTGTTTGACGGTCTTGTTTCCGCAAGTACAAGAAATAACTTGGCAGTCTATTACAATCCAGCAAATTGGCAAATGCGCCCACGGACAGGCTGAAGACTTGATGGGCAGAAGGTGGCTGCAGGTCAGGACTGAAATGTTCGTGGAGAATTGCAAACGAGAGACCTCAGCATGTGCAATTCTAGCTAGCCAGGAGTATGTGTCTCGTTTCTTTGTTATGTTACCAATCCAGTTTCAGAGGGAACACTAATTAGTGTGCCTGTCAACCAATTATGTGTTGAGTTGCAGTCGTTCTTGTTGTAATAATTACTATAGTTCTATACAGCCCAATAGCTGAAGCTTGATTCATTTTAATATTTTAATTGATTAATAAGAATGTGGACCAATTCATTAGTTGACTGAATTTAAATAATTTTGCATATTATCAGCAGCACAACATGAAAGGCCTATATGTGGCAGAGAGGCAGCATCCTCCTAGTCTCAGGAAGTCCTATAATTATTTGTAATTCATCAGTTCGGAAACAAAATACCTACAATTGAGGCACAGCATGGGGTGAGCTATCTATTATGATTATAATTATAATTTAGCACTGTTAGTATCTTTAGTACAATGATTTTGTATATTTAAGGAATTCACTCCCTTGGCCAGCAGCACAATTAGAAAGTGAGCTTTCACTGCAGAATGAGTTTGGGTTAGCATATGAATACTTTCATCGTTGCATTTATATTGTATTCATCAGAATTGTTGTGCATATTACCCTGAAATTCATTTTGAATTAGTGTATAATGCTAATAAAATAAAACAAATCCCTCACATGTGGTATTGCTAGATTTTTACATCTCAAGATTCTTTTCTTTATCTGCTTGGCTTTATATGCAGGAATTGTAATGTTCAGTTTCCCTTTCTCTAACACTTCCAAGTTAGAAGTTATATTCAAATTGTTACAGAAAACATGCTTCTGTAGGTCAATCTCATGCTTCTTTTGAAAAAATTATATCAGGAAACTAAAAGTTCTTGTTATCTGAGAAATACCAAATATTGTAGAAAGATGCAGTAAAAATCTTGCCATGCCATCAAATTTCACCAGTTTGTTTGCAGAAAATGCAGTTTATTATTGAAACCTTGTGTCTTCTTTCCCCCTTCATTTTTACCATAGAGTAGATGCTCAAGGTCCAGTCCTGACTGGGACATAGGACGTCATGTCCAACTGTAGTCTGATCCAGATTGGGCCTTTCTACCTCCTCTAAAGCAGAAATACCTGCTTTGGTCCTAAGAATTTAGGGGCAGTACCACAAAGTTTTGTTTCCCATGAATGAGTGTTCCAGAGATTTTGGTTTCTTTGAAGCATTTGTTTCATTCACACATATTTTATTTATACATGCATTTATACATATACAAGCAGGGGCTTTATGGAAGCCCGGGGCATTTCTGGGAAAGCAAATACTGCAGGGGCATCTGCTAACTCAGCATCAGAGTCTCAGAGAGAACGTCCAAACTCCATACTGCAGCACTGTAGCAAAGGACAAAGTTAGAAACCAGGCTGTCTGGTTTAAATCTTATCTCTGCCATGAACTCTCCACCTCAACTGCCCCTTGGCAATATAGGTAAAACCAGATTACAATAAAGAGTTGTTATAAGGAGAGTCCTATATACAAACTTAATGTTTGTATTTTTAATTTAATGTTATAATTATTTTTTAACTTAACGTTGCAAGCCGCCCCGAGGCTTTGGCGAATGGGGCGGCATAAAAATGTTTTAATAAATAAATAAAATAAATAAATACAAATTTTAATTATTATTACTGATCGTTGGCCAACTCACAGTTCCAAATTTTGATATGTTTCATCACTGTCATTTCAGACCAATCTATAGATCTAGAGTGTGGGTGGAAAAAATTGGTGTGGTTTCATAAGGGAAAAAGCAGTGTGTTACACATTTCTTTAATTTTCATTTATTTCAGGGCTTTCATTCTTGTTCTTGAGCTTTCTTTTCTAATAATGAATGTTTGAATGACACAGTAAGTATTGAGTAATAAGGCACATTCTTCTGAAAAAATTCTTTAGGAATATCTGTTCTTTCTGGCTTGTTCCAAGTTGCTATCTTGGGCACAATCTGAAATGTTTCACAATGCTTCCTGCAAGTGTTGCAACAGCCCTCCAAAACATACATCAGAATAAAAGATACAATTGCTTTTGCTGCAACAGGCTAACAAGATTCCTCTAGAAATGCAATATTTTTGTTTCTCTCACTTGTTCATTGTTTTCTGTTTTTCAGAAGTGCCGCCTTCTTGTATTCAATAAAATAAAAGTAGTAAAATCCATCAGATATCTTCTTTTTAATGAGATGATATGGGATGGAAAGAGCTGCGGCTATCGACAAGGCAGAGTTTACCGAGAAGGACTGACCTGAGAGGTATCGACAACTCCATGCGGGGTGTTCGACTTCATGGGATACTAGTACGTATTTCCCTCCTGGTCTTTACTTGTCACAGTGCTAAATGCAAATAGTTACTTGTGGTTAGACCCAAAGCAACAAGAGACCCACATTAAATGCATTATGCAAAACAGATCTAGGAATATCGAAAGGATTTTGGGGTGGGGGTGGGAGAGAGATGCTTTAGGGTGCGATACTGTGCACATAATACTTTTTGTTTACACAATTCCCAGCATTCCCCAGCCAGAAAGTCCGAATCATAACACATGTTAGCACATGCTCTCTTTTGGATGCATTAAGAGTTGCACATGTTCTCAAGGAAGGAATTTGTTAAGGGAGCCTTTAACTTTGGCAGTTGGCATCCCAAAGACAGACAGACAGACAGATAGACAGACAGATGTATGCATACACAGAGGCTTCTTCAAAGCAGAATCAAGAATTTAAAATTTATATTCATTATTTCAGGAAATTAACATGGTAGACTGCCTAGAAATCAAACAGGTAAAATGTGCACAGCACTGCAAAGTTAGAGGAAATTAGTTTAGTTCTCCCAGAGCACAATGGTGCTGGAAACTGTGCAGGGTCCATGAAGCAGTCCGTCTGTGACTGAGCGTTATAGTGTAAACAAGGCTGTGAGTATGCGCAGATAGCCTGGGCTGCACTTCTCGATGCAGAAGCCGGGATTCAGCAAATCGGAGTCTAACACTAAGAGGCAGAGAGGGAGGGAGGGAGGACTGGAAGTAAACTTGTAAGAGTGGGGGAGAGAAAGATTTGAGGATTACGATCAGGCCAATCCTACTACATAGCCAGAAGTAGGTTCCACAAAATGGCTGGGACTCTGACCAAATACTGAACAAAATTAGGCCCAAATTACACACAAAGCCCATAGAAAGGGAAGTATAGAATATGAGATTACAATTTGTACAAGAATTGCAAAGATCACTGCCTTAGGATTTGGGAAGCTGGTGTGGTGGAACTCCCCAGTCTCAACAGGTGAAGGAAAAGTGCATCCGTTTAGACCATGGGTCCTCAATGCCCATTTATCCAGCCCGCCTCAGAGGTTCTGGACTCGCCGTGTGTGCGCCCGCCTGCGCGCATGCATGCCCCTGCCGCCACCCACCTCACCCCATGCGCAGGGAGGTGGCAGCTTGCTCGTGTGGAGATCGTTTTGGACTCGCTTGGAGAAAACCATCTCCAAGCGAGCAAGCCGCTGCCTCGCACGCCCACCTCATGGCGTGTGCCCCGCCCCCGCCTCAACATGCACACCCCTGCACACCACCCCCTCGCTGGCCCATGCGCACCACTGGCACCTTTCAACTGGCTCCCTGGTGAAAAAGTTTGAGGACCTGGTTTAGACAGACCTGCGGTGAGGCCCTGGTGAGTCGGGACATAAGCAGCAGAAGAGTGGAGTCCCAGGTGTGTGAAGTGCTTCTTTCTGGGCTTGCCCATGAGACACCGAGCATTTCTCACACCCTGACAATGGATGAAATGCCTAATGGGCAGGGGAAATCACTGGGAAATCACTGCAGGTGATTTTGGCAAATGCAGGGGCCTCCGAGGGTGGCCAGGCTTTTAGTGACTGCAGACACAGAGCACCAGTCTGGTGAATCGGTATACTGAGGGTTCAAAACTCGAGCTTTCTATATAGTTTTAACCACATTTGCAAAGGCACGGTGAGAACAGGTCTGCCACAGTGAACTTGCAAAGGAGTGAACGTGAGAATTCTCAGGCAGCAAGAATGGCTCAAGGCTAAACCTAATGGGCTTCGGACAACTTATTTTATTGAAAATAACAAAAGAACTTGTCCCCAGAGTATAAAATGCCGCTGAAAAAGCAAGGTGCTGCAGAGTGTCTCAGTAGCCCTGGATCCCCATAGGTGGTGAACGCGGCACTGTTTGCCACTGCTGAAAATTGCCCCCATTGGACTGTGGGACCTCAGACTATGGCCCTAAGGCCCTAAGGTCCAGTTGTAGCCAAGCCAGCAGGCTCTCACCCCGAGCTTAGAGGGACCTGGATTCAACAAGTCAATCCTTAAATGGCAGACAGAGTGAGAAGGCCTCAGGACTGTTGGTAATATTTGTTGACAGAGAAAAGGAAGAAGGTTCTGTGGTTTCTCCCCTTAACTATGAGATAGGCCTGGTATTTTTCAGTCTCAGCCCCATTTCATTTTCTAGCTTATACACACACACAGATACACAGACACAAAACCACAGTTGGGTACAGCTGGTGTACAGTGGGATAGGTCAACTCTAGTGCATTCTTTGAACTGGTGTACAGTTTGCGTCAAAGTGTCAAACCTTTGCACTCTGACACCCTGTTCTCCCCATGTGTGCGTGTGCACGCGTGCATATCTTTTCAATTAGCAAAAAATGGGCTTTTCAGCCAAGTAATAAAGCTGTCAATAGTTAGTACTTAAGCACACTTGTGGCTGGAAGAAAGCATAAGACATGTGGTATTTGGCACATGCCGGTGCAAATTATATTAGCAACTCATCTCCCTGAGCCACGTGGTATTATTTTAGCCCCTCAGCAACATCGTACATTGCATGGCACTTATTGAATCACAGTCCAGACTTCTGTAACATGCTGTCCTCAAATGGGTTGGACTGCAGCTCCCATCATCTCCAGCGGCTTGGCCACTGAGCAAGCGCATTTGGAGGAAACCTGATCGGGGAGGGCCAATATAATTCCATCCTCCATCCCAGAAGGTAATACAGTGGTCTGTTCTTTCACCTGAGAAACCCTCAGGTTTCAGTTTCCTGCCCAACCCTGGACCAAACACATCCATTGCTATCCACGGATATGAGTCAGGATAGATGATCTCCAGCCTGGTCCCAGCAGATGGTCTTTCATCCAAGTGGCTGAATATCCAGACATCATTCTGCATCCTCATGCTTGATCATGGTGGCATGTGACATTTTCCTTGGCTGGCTGAGGCACACGCAGGGGAGAACACGGCCCTCTGCAGACCTTGTCACATGTGAGCCTCTCGTGCCTCATTGGTACGTTCGGAGTCGTGTTCACCTCCGAAAGCACAGTGACTGTCACTGCTTGAGCAGAAATTTTCGCTCCTAAAAGAGTCTTCGCCACAGACTCAAGGGAGCTGTAAGTCACCATTGCTCCAGGGGTGACTTTGCAACCAAGCAGTAAAGCTGTCAGTATTTAATACTTAAGCATACTGGTGGCAGGAAGAAAGGGAAGGATGGGGTAATTTTAAAAGAATAATCAAGTGTACATTGCACAGAGCAATCAGACCAACAGTTTTATTGCTTTACAAGGGTGGAGCTCTGTTGCCACTGTTCTTTCTTCCATTTGACCATTAGAAGGTCTAGTTTTACTAGTATCAATGAGGGCTAGCACCTTAAATAAACCTCAGCAGATAGTTGGTACCTGCGGTTTAAACCAGGGTGGTCTAGGTGGCTCCATCCCCTAAATTCCTCTTACATTTTTCTGAAAGAATGAAAAATTATTTTTGTTTTTAAAAAAAGGCCTGCCAACCCACTGATTCCCCACCTAGGGAACTTTCAGCCTGGCCACGGGGCTACTGAGGTTCTGGGGAAGGCCTGCAGCTTGCGGTTCCCATTATGTCCTGAGCCACAAAGGAGCAGCACCAGGCAGACCCCTCTCCGCCGGCGCTTCCACGGCTCATCCTCCGGCAAACGACGGCGCAGCGCAAAGCGCCCGCGTCTGTTTCTGAAAACGGCTCGGAGTCAGCGGCGCGCTCGCCGCGACTCTCCTCGCGCAGCGCCGCCAGCTGCTATTCCGTGGCCCCGCTTTTTTTTCCCTTTCCAGGTTTGCTGACTACCCGCCTCCCAGCCGTGCCCGTTGACCTCCGCGCTCTTTCGCTAGGAAGGCATTTGCACCATTAACAAAAAAAAGACGACGAAAGGCAGGCAGGCAGGCAGGCAGGCAGAAAATGCCCAAAGCGTCGCCGAGTCGCTTTCACCAGCTGCAGCCGCGGGGGAGGAAAGGGTGCCTGGAGAGAGGCGAGCGGCGGGAGCAGCCAGCCGGACGGGCCTCCGCGGGCGCCTGCGGCTTTAAGAGGGCCACCTCCGGGCGCCCCACGCCCCGCCCGCCGCCGCCGCCCTGCCGGGCCGGGCCGGGCCGGGCCGGGCAGGACGGGCG